TGATGAACACCTAAAAATTAGTCGAATATGACCTTTACATGACCTGAATTTGCCTTATTTTTTCCATAAAAATTTGTTTTTGCTGGAAATGCATAAATAAGCTAGCATAACTCCAAATTGAAAAAAGAAAAAATCAGTAAAAGAGAATAAAGGCATCTGGGTCAACCCTAATACCGCGTAGGTCCTCCTCTACTTCTTATCACTGCATTCATGCGTCGCGGCATGCTTGCGATCTCTATGAGTTGGTTGTGATTAGAAACAGGGGGTCTATGACTTCGAATCCTCTTTTTGAGATAGTCCCATAGATGTTCTATAGGATTCATATCCGGACTGTTAGGTAGCCACTCTAATAAAGGAATATTAACATCATGTAAGTAACCAATAACCTGTCTAGCCACGTGATGACGAGCCTTGTCCTGCATGAATAAAAAATTGGGCCCAACAAACAGAGCAAAAGGCATTACATGTTCGACAATAATGTTATCTAAGTAATATTGAGCATTCATAGACTTCGTACGTATAAGGACCAACTCCGTACGAGCATCGAAGCAAAATCCTCCCCAAAACATTTTAGAGCCACCACCAAAAGGCACTTTCGGAGATATATTACAGCTGGCAAACCTTTCTCCTTGTCTTCGCCAGACACGCTTACGTCCATTTGGACCTTTAAGGCTAATTCTAGTTTCATCGGATAATAGAACCCGTTTCCAATCATTGATGGTCCAATTCTGATGTAGTCTTGCAAAATTTAATCTCTGAACTATGTGTTCTCTGGTAAGCAAGGATTTTTGGCTAATCTTCTGTTGCTTAATCCTGCTTCATGTAAACGTCTTCTAAACGTTCGAGACGACATAGCGATATTTCGAACATCTGCTCATTCATTTTTAAGCAGATTGCTGGTTACTCTCCTGTCTCTAAGAGCACGTTGTCTCAAGAAACGATCATCAATTTGATTAGTGCAACGTTTTCGCCCTTGTCCTGGTCTTCGATGGTACGAACCCGTTTCATTATGTCGCCTCACTATGCGACTGATGCTGGAATGATGTATTCCTAATAAACCAGCAACATATCGCTTTAAATATCCTTTACTCAGGAGAGTCGATGCTCGCACTGCCTCCTCCAGTGACAGATTTCTTTAACGGTTCATATTTTTTACTTGATATTCTCCCAAATGAACTTCCAAACATGCATGTAATAAAAACAATTACAATTAACAGATTGCTTCTAACAGAAACTTTGCTTCAATCAGCACTTTTTAAGAAAATGTTAACATAGTTTTAGTCTATAACGAGGTTTAATACGAATTACTGTCAAAACAAGGTATTACGTGATACTAGCTAGCTTAAAAACAACTGTCACTGTCAAACAAGGTCCATGGCCTACTTGTCGTACAGTAAGTTATGAATAAATAAAGATTATCGAGCAAAATATAAGTGGTGCGTTAATTTTGTCCAGGAGATTACTTATTCGCTCTACACGCAGAATTATTGTCTTTCTTGTGAAGTGTCCAGGCATGCAAATGAGTCGTCCAACATCAGCGCGTACATAAAAGCAACAGAACTTTGTATTGTGACATCGTCGCTCAACAATTGTTTGTTCGCATCGAAGATACGTCGGTATCGGTATATCAAGGATTTATGCGCATCATAACATCGTCGCGTATTCAATGAACAGAACATACTGTGGTATGTGGTATAGACATGGAAATAAAATATATAGCCATGCAACAGAACTTTGTATTTGTATCGATACACCATGTCAACAAGTCTGACGACACGCTTATGTCGCACCGCTTTTTTTGCTGTCTGGTCAGTTCACAAGAAAGACAATCATTATTCTGATATGAAATGACATAAAGACAGTTGTTCTACTAATTTGATGCGGTACGTTACAATGTGAAGTTAAGAGTAGCGTTAAAAGTTACTAACTTATGGTATCGGTGAATACTACTTAAATACCCATACAGCACACATTATTTCAGAAGTGTTTCAGAAATATTTCAAGCAAAAGTTTCTGAAATATTTTAGTTAAATATTTCACTGAAAATGTTTCTAAAACATATGGTATACATGTTACATAAGAGGTTACTAAACGAGTTATGTTGTAAAAGACCAACACTTAATGAAGAATTTCTGATTTGTAAGAAGATCAAGATGGGATATGTATTCATTTTATTTCATCCTATGTCCATCCAGAGACAGTCGTATATTCTAAATATTTATAGATTTGAATTGTCGGTTTTTGTCATTTCCTTTTTTTGTTATATATGCGTTGTGCTTTTGTTATCCTTCCTTCATGGTTATTATATGGGAAGCAGAATAGGCAGAACATGTCTTTAGAAATTGAGGCGAGTATTACAATAGTTGCATGTTTAAGTTAGGTTTATTAACTTTATCTCTTCTCTGAGACGAGTGACGCCATTTCTTTTATCAAATTTATAGGCATCTTATGTTCTTATTTCTATTTAAATATAACCTACATTTGCTGTCCCTTCACCAGTTTTATTTATTAGTTCTACAGCTGATTAAAAAGTGGAATGTTTTGTGTAGGCATGAGTATTGTTTGTTTTATTATAGTTAATTTAAAACAATATTAATACTTTTTAATTACTTATAATTTGTTTCAGATTAGTGCATTTAAAGGAATTGGTGAAAATGAAGCGATTCGCCAGCTTTGAGGCTGTGCCAGTAAAAGTAACATCAAAGTTATTCAACGTTTCCAAAATAAAGTATTAAGGAACATCGTTGATGCACCCTCGTACTGCAACAATACTGATCTTCATAGGGACCTTAAAGTGGAGACTGTTGAAAGTACAATACAAAAATTTGCCAGTAGTCACCAACAACGACTGCTCCAACATGGAAACCTTGAGATTATCCAACTCCTCAACAATGCCAATCTAATAAGAAGACTCAAGAGAACCAAGTAACTAAATAATTAGACTCTAAGGTATACTAGTGAGTAGAATATTAGTTTATGAAGTTTTTCATCCCTTGATAAGTAAGATTAGAATAAAATTGCTAATTGATCTTAATTATCAGATTGTAATATTCATAAATGTTTCTTTACTTGGGGCATTTATTAAAAAAACTATTTATTAAGATTAGTGCATTTAAAGGAATTTGTGAAAATAAAGCGATTCATTCACCTTTATATTTTATGAAATAATGTTTAAAAATATTTATTTGTTTGTTTAAGCATCAATGTTTGAGTTTTGTGTATTTTAAATAAACATGTATCTTTATAAATGTCTTTTTTTAGTCTAATAATATTTTAGAAAAAAAAGCTAGAATACATTTCTGAAATATTAATATTTAATATTTCTAAAAGATTTCAAATTTTTATTTCGGAAATATTACTGTGAAATATTATATTTTCAGGAAATTTCTAAGTTTCAGGCACCACATTTCAGAAATGTTTCTGGGATATTTCGTAAAATTTATACATTACAAATGTTTCAATGTAATATTTTTTAAATATTTCTGAAATGTATTTGTGCTGTATAAAATTAATTTATAGAAAAATAAATGTAGACATTTGGAAAAAAAAATTCTCTGGAATATTAATAGATACACGCTACGATGCATATATGATATATACAATGGTCTCCTGTGACATTTTATTGCCAAAATGTTGCTTTCATATCTACTGTATTAACAAAGTATAATAAATAATATGCCTATAGCCTACTATGCCGAATAATTCGCTTGGTTTTACTCTGTTTAATATTTCAAAGGGTTTATTTTTAAACCATCTTCAGTTATAATGACAAGACGGATCTTTACACACCTGAATCCTAAAAGAAAATATAGGTAGGTACCTATACCGTCACCGATTGTGACAGAGTTTTGACTGATATTTATTCGCTTGACTTGCAACGAAAAGGCTACATTTTCGTCCCATTGTGGGAGTCAGTATTCAAAGGATTAAAATACGATAATAACACACACCGAACACAATGAATTCTATACCATTTTCGTAATCCTTCGGAATTTTGCCGCATTATTGAAATGTTTTTTGTTACTCTACGGGGCGTTTGGCCGCGTTTCTTTTTCAGCAATAATGATTCGTTTCCTATATTCCGACTGTAGGCTTCATTGTAAATCGGATATCCAAGCACATATCAATTTGTCTTGTTTTTTACTTGTATGTTTTTTATTACTTGCTCGTTTTTTACTTGCTTGTTTTTTAGTTGCTTGTTTTTTAGTTGGTTGTTTTTTACTTATTTTTGACTTGCTTGTTTTTTATTCTCTTGTTTTTTACTTGCTTGTTTTTTTTTGTTTTCAAATAAAAATGGCTATTTCTCATTTTTTTAAGGTAACATCCGTTTTTTATGATAAAGTATTTACCATCCAGTGGCGTAGCTACCGGGGCATCTGGGGCAGCAACCCCTACCCTGCGCCAACAAGTTTTAGACGCCTTCATCCTTTTATAACATCAAGCGCCTTTATTTCCTACAATTCCTTTATTTTCTAAAATACAGATTACTTAATAAATTAATTATATAATATTATTTGATTTCCTTCCCTCTCCTTCTGTGGGCGCCACTTTTGGGTCTGATACCCGGCGGCTGCACTCAATCTAGCTACGCCACTGTTACTATGCAATAAACAGTCATAATGCCCTAGCGGAAGTTATGGATTCTATTTATTTACATTTATTACTGTTGTATGAGGAAAAGCGAAGCAAACGTTATAGAAATCATTCATTGTCAACTATTTTGAAATAAGCAAATTATTTATTTTTATTCCTAGTACATATTTAACCAATCATACGCACGTGTTGAATGTGTTGCCTAAAAATTAAGAAATGGTAACTTTTCCGAATTGCGTAAAGTTAAAAACAACCCCAATATTATTTTAGGACTATACGTTTTAAATTATCAAAAATAAAAATATTACAAATTTGTATTCCAGAAAAAATTTGTCAATAATAATAAAATTGTAAAATAACAAATAGCGATATTGGGCAATCTTCTGGTCCGGTGTTGATCCTTTAGCCACTATAACCCGCAACGTGAGAGTTGTCAAAAATTTTGAAAAATTTGTGCAAATTTTTAAATTTTGATACTTTAAAACAATGTCGTTGGGCAGACTTAGCCGTATATTAGCGCTCAGACAAATTCAATTGCAGGCAAGAAATAATATCATAAGAAATGAGGGCGTTAAAAGAGTAACAATTAGTAAGTTTAATTTGAGGTTAACTTCGAATTTTCTCAAAAAAATCTATTAAATTTGTAGCGAATCGGAACTTTGCAAGATTATTAAGCACCCAAACTTCTACCAAAGATGATGAACATCATTCAATAATTAAAGATACAGAAAAACCTATAGGTAAACATTTTTGGTGTCTTTTTAAGGTCTTATTTACATGTACATATTTAATATTTCAGGCGAAAGTACAAAATATGAATTTCAAGCAGAAACAAGAATGCTTCTAGATATAGTGGCTAGATCTCTTTACTCAGAAAAAGAGGTGTTTGTTAGAGAGTTAATATCAAATGCAAGTGATGCTTTAGAGAAATTCAGATACATAGCAGCATCAGGGGGAGACGAAGCCAAAAATATTAAAGATTTAGACAGAGCATTAGAAATTCATATATCCACAGATAAACATAATAGAACGTTAACAATACAAGTAATAAAAAAGGTTATAGATTGTTGTTTGTTCAAGTTTTTAATTCTATATTTTTAGGACACTGGTATTGGAATGACTAAAGATGATCTAATAGCACATTTAGGAATCATTGCAAAATCAGGATCTAAGGTAGTTACAATTCTGTATTATTTGAGGGATTAACATGACTGCCAACTATGAGTTAACTCATAGTTGGTGCTCTTTGCTAGGATGCAGACTATGACTTGTAGTTTGTTTACTTGCCATATTTATGCAGCTACAGTATTAAATTCATAGTATATCAGTATAAATATGAATAGATAGCCTCTAGAAAGAAGGCAGTAATCAAAGATGACTTACATTTACATGGATTGAAAATATATTAAATACATGAACAAAAAAACATACCTATATAATCACAAATTTATTCAAAATCAAGAAACAAACAAGTATTGTTGTTGTTTGTGATTTACTACTAACCAATTTAGATGTATATCTCTGACTCAGGTGTAGCGAAGCGACCAGAGCATAATGAATGGAATCACGCACTTAAAACTGCAGAAGTTATTGGTATCACGTGCCAACTAGTCATAAATGCATGTTTATTGCCAAAATGAATTACGCTAGTGGCGTATAAAAACTATTGGCAAATTAAATGCAGTAATAGTAAATAATATTATATGAAAGTGGGTTGGTTATCTATTTTTGTAGTAATAATCATTTTTGTTTATAATTTTGTTTTGTTTATTGTTATAACATGTAAATATTATGCCAGTGGCGTAGAAACACTATTGGAAAATTAAATGGGGTATTATACTAGAACAAAATATTGAAGAAGGTGCGCCTTAAAACTGCAAAAGGTATCGTTATCATATCAAAATGCACTCTTCCAGTGTCGCAGAAATACTATATTGGCAAATTAAATGGGTATTTGTGAATATTGCTAGATGAAAGTAGGTTGGTTATCTATTTTTGTTATAATAATTCATCTATGTTTATAATTGTATTTTGTTTATTATAAAAATATGTAAATTAAGCTTGGTATCACTTGAATTCTAAATCTATGAAGTTTCGTAATCCATTGATTCTGCAGAAATACCGTTTTGATCATACCGTCCAAGCGCTACATATTATTTTCTTCCTTAATTACATGGGAAATAGCATTCTGCCAATCTTCAGGTTTTATACGTTCTATACCGGTTTTTAATAAACTTTGAACGTCGGCTATTTTAAAAGTTTCATTTTCTCGAGCTACAAACCCTTTCACTTGCGCCCAAATTAGTTCAATAGGATTGAATTCGCACTAATAAGGGGGAAGTCTTAGTACCGTAATACCACGATCACGAGCCATTGTGTCGGCAACATATTGAATATATTTATGGCGGTGTTCCTTTATTAGGTCCATTAATTCCACTTTAAGCATCTCCTCAGTAAATGTTATTGCTTTATCCCGCAACCAGGTTTGCATATCCGCTTTCCTACTGGACATTATCGGAATGCGTTCAACTCGTCGACTGTGATAAGAAGCGTCATCTAGTACAATAACTGAATTTCGTTCTACACGCTGTAATACTTCAGTAAACCATTTTTCAAAGCTTTCCGCATTCATGTCCTCGTGGTAGTCTCCTGTTTTTTCGATATAAACACAAGAGCGCTATTTTCCAAATTTCCAAAAATCCACTGTCACTTTCGATATGGGTAACAATTAGGCGCTGTCGTTTACCTGATGGTGCTTTCAAACCTGTAGATAATCCCTCTATAAAAGCTTGGCGATGATTAGTTACAGAAGTATCTTGCCATATCTTAGATACCGTGTGTCCAGCATTCACCCACGTTTCATCGAGATAGTAATCTTTTTTTAGCGGCTCTAAACTCTTTAATCTTTCGTAAATAACGCCGTCGCCAGGACACTATATCTGACCCCTCAGTTAAAATTGATTTCCTACACCGTTTGACAAAACGAAATTTTAGGCCCCATAAAATTTTTCGTAAAGTTTCACAGCTCATTAATGGAATTTCTTCATTTTCTCTTAATTTCGTAAGAACAACTTTAAGTGTTGGGGCTTTGTTTTCGGAAAAAAAAGAATGTACAGTTCTTCGAATGATTTGTTTTTGGTTATTGTCCAATTTCAACAATTTTCGACCACGGGTATGCGTTTTAGGGGCTTCTAAGGAGCATTTTTTTGTCTCTTCGCGTACAATACGTTCAACTGTTGAAACAGATACTCCAGTTAAAGAAGAACTGCGGTTTACAGCCCATCATACACTTTCCATATAATGTTGCACTACCACTACCAAATTGTAAGGCACAAACATGAACACCTACTCGTATATCAGAAAAGAGCACTTAATACAAAAATTTGTTTATAAAATATAAAATAATTATCATAAATAGTTAAAGCAATACAAATCTAACTTCATTGAAAGTTAGTTTTCAACTGTATTTGTGCCTGTGCTGACAATATTCAATCTGTAATCCGTCTGTCGTTTATTTACTTGAAACACATTTTAAAACCATTAAACACAGATAACGAAGTCATTAGGATATAAATATATTCATTTCTTGAAAACTATCAAAAACGTATATTTAACGCGTCATCTTTGTTTAAATAAAGTTGTTGACAAACAAATTTAATAAAATTTACTAACAAATACCTAATAAATAATTATTTGGTATTTGATACGCCGCCTATGCTAACTCTGTCGGAATTTTCATGCATAGACAACAGTGTTGATCATGCATATGACTCACCTTCTCCAATATTTTGTCCGAGTATAGGAGATAATTCGCAGGATCTTAAAAAAAATTCTACATTTTTCGATAATTACTATGCTATAATAGAGTGTTTAATAATATGTTTTAATTAAATTTTAGACCAAAATCCTGAAAATTACCATGGAACATAAATAAATTAATAAATTATATAATAAAATAAACATTTGTAGGCATTTATGGAGCAGATTAAAGAAAAGGCTGCCAGCGGAGATAACAACATTATAGGACAATTTGGAGTAGGATTTTACAGTGCATTTATGGTAGCAGATAAAGTTGATGTTTACTCCAAAGCAGCAGGTGAAGAAAATGGCTATAAGTGGAGTTCAGATGGGTAATTTTTTATTTTTATTATTAAATAATATAATGGACTGGAATGTAAAAGAAATATTATATTTTATAACCTATATTTAAATATTATGGTATAAAAAGGTGTTCATTATTACCTGATAATATATAAATATAATTATTTATTTTAGGACTGGTTCCTATGAAATTCAAATTGCAGAAGGTGTCCAAAACGGCACCAAAATTGTGATTCATTTAAAAGCAGATTGTAGAGAATTTGCTGACGAAGATACAATTAAAAATGTTATAAACAAATACAGCAACTTTGTTGGAAGTCCTCTCTATCTCAATGGCAAAAAGACCAACATAGTTCAACCATTGTGGCTTTCTGATCCGAAATCTGTGACTCAGCAACAACACAATGATTTTTATAGGTTTATAAGCGGCAGTTATGATACACCTAGGTATACTTTACATTACAAGACTGATGCCCCCCTTTCAATTCGGGCTTTGCTGTATTTCCCTGAAGGAAAGCCAGGTAATCCATTCAAATTAAATTTCTAGAGTTTAAATTCAAAATGGCTCATCTTTGCTGCAGGTTTATTTGAAATGTCTCGGGAAAATGAATCTGGAATAGCACTATACACAAGAAAAATTCTTATTAAAAATAAGACTGATAATATTTTGCCGAAATGGTTAAGATTCGTCAAGGGTGTTGTTGACTCAGAAGATATACCACTAAATTTGAGCAGAGAATTGCTTCAAAATAGTGCACTTATTAAGTAAGTAAACCATCATGTATATTCTAAAAAACAGATATTCAACACAATAATTATATTTTCAATATTTAAATACTATATCCTACGACCACTTCGGAAAATGATCATATTCACTATTTAGTTTTATGGAGAGTGTCCTATGTGAGGTATGTGGATAAGAATTTACTTTCTGCCCATGAATGAATAATAATCACTTGTGAAATATGGCAGATGGATCATTTCTTTTTTTTTTTATTTGTGTAATGTCTATATTAATTAATACAATAACTGTTCTCTTTCACAGTTTTTCCAAAAAAAACCCATTCTTGAAAATATTTTCTCTAATATTCTGGCCATAGTTTGTTTATTACATTTTTAAAGGTATTAACCACTTCTTAGGCCGATCTAAAATGTAAAACCCTTAATTTATCGTTTACCTGCGGAAATAAGAAGTCATTAGGTGTTAGGTCTGGAATATACGGAAAATGACCCCTTATTTCTATTTTTGATCATTCAAATACTCATTTGTTTGAGTAAGCCTGAGCTTTATCTTAATGCAAGATGGTCCTCCCTCTTCCCTTTCCGTTTTTCATGAACCTTTTGGAGAACCTGAGGCAAACAAACTATAGTATACCATTCTGAATTAACAGTACGTCTATCCTACTATGCTACAGTGGAAACATGTCCAGTAAATCCAAAAAAACAATATAGCGTATAAAAAACAAACCTAGAACCAGCCATATCTTGTTTGAACCTCCATAGCCATATTTCCTAGTTTTATATTTTTTATTAAATTAATTTGTGGTCGTATTAAAAATATTGCATAAAAGCGATTTTTTACCCTCGTAATAAACTATATTTTTTAATAAAAATTGCAATTTTAGTAAACTACGTGATATACTTACCGCTAGAGTGATTAAATACTTGCAAGAACAACTGAAAAAGAACCAAGTAGAATTCGAAAAGTTTTATAAAGATTATGGTTTATTTATTAAAGAAGGCATCATAACAAATTACAACCAGACAGAAAAGGTAAGAATTTATTAAGTAATTAACAATTTAAAAACTATAAAATTATTCAATTTCAGTAAGTGATATCACATTTAAAACTTATATTAATGTTAGGTGTTAATCAAATACTTCACTGCTAACTGAACGATTATCACTATCTTGTGTTGCAATTATAAGACCATCATCGCTATCATCAGATGGAAGTGCTTCATCGTTACCGGCATTATTATCATCTGTCATAACTGTACTTTGCGACAAAATATCTTCACCATGTAAGTCTCTATTTCGTAAATTTCCCATCCAGAAGGCTGTCGAGCAATTATTGGCCACTAAGGCTGCTTTAACCCTAAAAATATTGTAAAATATAAAGTGCGCTTATTAGGAATTGCCGCTATTTTAGGTTAGGTTGAAAATGAGTGATAAAAAGGAAGACTCTATTGTGGCTCATGTCTAACTTATAGTTCACCATATAAGCCACATCTTTTGATGATGGCCATGGTTGAATTGGGTGAGACTTGTTTAAAATCGGAGGGCTCCAGTTGGGTGAATACAAATATCTGGAGCCTAATTCATTCCAAAGCGAAGCTCTGTGGATTCATCTTCCACGCTGCATATTCAACAGTCCGATGTTTGTTGAGGACATATCCTTCTCATGTGGGTTACCTAGATGGCAATGTTGACAGTTCCATGAGAATAAGTAAATATTTCTTACTCCTTTTTCGGATCTAAGCAGATGCGTTCATGAAAGGGGTATCTCTCCAGTTACACCCTCCCTCCACACCGTTGTGTCCTGAAACCCAGATCAAAGTAACTGTGTTCCTGGCAACGAGTACTCCAAGGGTGTTTATACCGTTCCAAACCAGCTTTAAGTCGACATGGTTAGAAATCAGGGTCTTGTTCAGTTTTGGAGCCATCCGTGTACAGCACATAGTCCATCTGGGGCACTATATGATTTTTCGATGTGCTGCCGGGAACTAACGAGTCTAAGACCGAGAATGTGGTGGTTATTAATCTCAGTCATCAGTCCCAGTCTATAGGAGACCAACCTGACGTCCCTTTCCTGTAAAATGTGGAGGGCTTAGATCCAGCATCATCTCCATGGCTCCCGTGGGTGTTGTTGACATTGCTATAGAGATACCACTATTTTACTTGCAGTGAGAAAAAGAGCGAATTGTAAAGTGGTTCTTTGGCGTAAACAGATGGACGTGTAAACTCAAAATAAATAAAAAAAAACTATTAAAATAAACATAGCACAGTGTTCCCTGAAACCAAGCCAGACGAACTTAAAAGTAAGATGGTTAAACCAACAAACTTTTTTGTATGTTTTTAAAGTAAAACTTTCTTATTCATTTTATAATAACTATGCATGTTTATTATTTTTGTCTTGTTGTAAATTGCTTACCTGTATATTAGAGACTCCAAAGTTAATCTAAATTGGGGAACAAAAGCCATAAGACTAGCGTCCTTATTGAACTTGGTGTAACAACACAGGTGATGTAAAAACCTGGTGCTGGTCTGCAACGTTTTAAAAATGGCCACTACTTCGTCCGGATTAGATCTTAACATTAATTCCATCATAGGTATACCATGAGATAAGAATACTTTCAATATACCAATAGATTTCTTTAAGAAACAAACTAGGTTTATCTTAGCTTCTTGTTTTTTTACCACCGTCATCAATCCTTGCATCGTAAGTGTTGTGTTGTACCAAAGTTCCAAATGTTGATCGTTGGTTAATGATTGAATTTCAGATTTAATTCTAAAATAATTTAAGTCTGATAATAATAAAACAAATCAATAAATTATTGAAATACATGTAGATTTTAAAACAGATTAATAATTAAGCTCCCCGAGAATGTGTAAAAATGTTGTTTCAAACAACTTATAAATTTCCCTATTAGAGTGCGCAACGGTCAGGAATCCACGCTCAACTTACTAGTCAATGACAAAAAACTAATCAACATCCATTAACTCTGAATCACCTATTGGTTTGAGAAATCATATAGTCAGTAAGGCGGTTGCACAACTTAACATCCAAACTGGATCCACAGACAGTGTTGAAAAAGAAACTTCTAGAAAGCAGATTATACATTAATAAAGAGTGAGATAGCTCAACATAGTGCACATTTGCAAGATGCTGCTAATAGTGTAACGTCAGATTAACGTGACACAAAAGTTCGGTTGTCCCAGATGTCAACCTTGTGGCTCCGGTTCTCTCTAGTGGAGATGGGAGTGGATGATTACTTTGCAATCTGGGAAAAATACTATATTTTTGATGTTGTGTTGGACGCCAAGTAGATCTTTAATATTGAACTTCAAATCCACTTCTCCTCGACCACGAGTTAAGAAAGCCGATACTACAATCACCAAAATAACGGGCTCAAATCCACGTTAACACGATTCAATTTTAGCATTAGTGCTTCTTATAATAATAAGATACTTTTCTAACGCTCCCTGACATGGGATGATTCCATAAAATCACAAAAACTAGAAAAGCTTCTCTTCACGAACCATTACTTCTACTCTGAAAAAGAACACGTTTCGCTTCGTTTTTCTCCAACACGAAGACGAAACCTCGATCGTGCAGAATCGCCGTACATAAAACCTACTTCAGCCAATTGTCACTCTCGAACAAATACGATTCACGAATGGCACTCCTGTGTCGCCAATAAGCTTTTACGATTTCAAAAATAAAACTAACTGTATCATGCTGGTATCCCTGTATTACCCAATAAAAATCCTAGACAACGAAACGTCAAAATATACTCACAGAACTATGCAAGGCGTTACCACTCTATAGTACTTATCTATGATCTGACAGCTGTCTAGCAGTGACACAAATATAAATATAACCCCATTTATTTAACATTCGATATTCAACCAATATAATCAAAAAAAAAAGATTCAACAAGTATAAATTGAGTTTTAGTACTAGTGAAAGTTAACAAGAATATCCACGACAATCAAATCATGATTTCAATTAACGAAAAGTGCTGTTGGTAAAGTTTATTTACCACAAGGATTGTTGTCGAGTGCTTGTGAAAATTACCACAACAAGGATTGATATTAAAGGTAAATTTTAGCATAAATATTACAATTTGCACAAAGAAGGTATCACAAAACAAATTTACCTTTGCCTATTTGTGTTGAAAGATATTTTAATTCTTGTAAAAATATTATATATTAAGTCTAAAATCCCTATAATTTCAAACTCTGGGAACTGGATAATATAAATGTGTGTTGTGTGAATGTGTACAGTGATTACAGGGTGAAATCTGAATGCATGAAAACTTTGACTAGTCGGATAAGTTTTTTTTTTTTGAGCAAATATAGGTAAAGAAATACTTTATGGACGAACAAAACCTATACTATATTAACGCTTGATTAAAACCATTACAATAGTTCTTATGACATTTTAACAAACATACTGCACAAAGTAATAAATGACAGTATTCCACTAGAAGTAGTAAGAACCCTGAAAACCCACTTCAAAGAAATTAATAAAAAACGGAACCTACAAGTCAACAAGAGCTGAGGAAGATTATGCTGCATATAGAAATCAGAACAATGAACTTAAAAATGTATTGGCTGTATCTATAAAAAATTATGACCATAACCTCTTAAAAAGTGGTGAAAAGAAATTTTACTCATATGTAAAAAGAATACTGAATACAAACAGCACTCAGATCACGCTGAGAAGCCCAACAACAAATTAAGCAATCACAAAACCAGCCGAGATAGCAGAAAGATTTGCAGAACAGTTCGGTTCAGCTTATACAATAGAACCTGATACAGAATCACCGCATGTAACTACAACAGAAAGTGTTGAGAATAGCATAGTAAATATAGAATTCACCCCAGAAAAAGTTAAATTTGCAATAGACATTCTTAAACAAGATTTAAATCCTGGAATAGATGAAATACCACTCACTTTTTTTCTTAAAAAATGTTCTAATGCCTTTTTAATCCCCTAGCGACAGTTACGAACGACTGCCAATGGACTGGAAACAGGCTATAGTCACTCAAATATATCAGAAAGGCGACAAAAAGAATCTCATAAACTATCGTCCAGTCTTATAAGTTGTATCGGTTAAGCAATGGAAAAGATTATTACAAAAGAAGTAACCGAATTTATGATGGAACACAGACTTTAACTAAGCAATCAGCATGGATTTACGCCCAAAGATATGTTGTTACAAATCTTCTAAGTGCAGTTAACCCGTGGACAGCTTGGAATGACAGACCAGCCAATTGATGTGATATATCTGGATTATGAGAATGCTTTTGATAAAGTTCCACATAGAAGGTTGCTTAGCAACTGGAACACTTTGGATTAATAGGCAATCTATTATTATTGTGGGTTGTTTCTTCAACCAGCAGTTCTCAGTAAAAATAAATGGACAGCTGTCAAATAGCCATCGAGTAGAAAGTGGAGACATCATACACACTTTTAACTTAGGTTAGGTGAACAATACATAAAGAAAAGTAACAGTCGGCACTTTGAAGTAGAAGGAATAGAAATCTCTGACCGTCAGTTCCACCATAGAGACACCCTGAGAACTAATGTACTAATAAACTAGACAGCGAAAACTATGTTTATTTCTTTTGTTCTTTGACAATGCTTCACCGTAAATAAGTCGTGGCTACAGTGGCTAGGATTTTGACTGTAGCCCTATGTTTCTTTTCTGTATTGTTCATCTATTCTGTGCTTTTAATATCTGCATATATTTAAATAACATCAAGAAGTTCACCTGTTAAGTAATGCGCTGCATAATCCATTATAGAACACGTGAAAATTTTGCTTATCGATGCTTTCCAACATGGGTAAACAGTCATTTTTTGATTTCAACATTTCAACTTCGTCTTGTAGAGTTCCTACTAAACCAGCTATAGTTTCCACATTGGCAGTGTTCAAGTACGTTTTTATCAAAACGTCTATATTCAAATTGGCGTTTCTACCGCTGTCCAAGACTCCCTTTTGATTGTACCATCTTTTTGAAAGTAATTTTTCTGATACAGAAGAAATTTTCTTTTCGATTTCAGGAGCTGGATTGGTTACTGAATAAAGAGCTTGCATAGTTTTGATTAAATATACAGCATGTTGTAGTTCTAAGCACTGCTCTATATATCCAGCAAGACGATTTATAAATTCGATAATTAAACGATGTGCCGAGCGTAGTGATTGGGATTGTTCGTTTGAACGGATGCTTTTTAGCATATTTTTCAATACCTAAAAATGGTATATGTGAAAATGGTTAATATATTTTTATAAATAACTTACCTCTAGATTAGTGGAATGTTGAAAACCTGTCCAGCTGAAAATTAATAAAAAGGCTTCCATAATCAATCCGAAACAGTTTTTAAAATCTAAAGCCGCTGGCATAAACATTTCTGGAAGGTCCAATCTACCATCTATTTCTTCCAACAATCCATTTATTTTGTTCAATATAATCTAAAAATTCGTGCAAATTGAATATGGAAATTTTAATATGAATTATTAAACAAATACCTTCAGATGTGAATCTAGATTCGGCAAAACAAATCCGATGTCTGTCATAATATGCAGCGGTATTACTTCATTTAGGTGGGACAATCCGCTATTTTTACTTTGAGTTGTAACAACTAATTTAGCAACTAAATCTTTCAGAAGAAATTTTAATTGGTCTAAATCCAAAGTTGTTTTACTCGTTTGAGTGCTAGATGATGATTCAGTCGAATCATCTAGTTCTAATTTCAATGGGTACTGAAAAGATTACTATTTGTAACATTTATATATAATTATTTATTATTTACCTTTAATAATATTACCACATCTGTATCCAAATCTCTGAAGTGTATGTTACTTTCTGTGTGGCTAATTTTAGATACAGAGGATTTCTTTTTAACTTGAGTGGCTTGTGTATGTGCCGTCGTATTAGCAGTTTCGTCAAGTTCCACAGTGGCGGCGGATTTAACTTTCTTTTTAGGATTTTTACCTTTTGAATCAGTTTTAGCTATAGCCGGAAGTGTTTTGTTTCCTTCTAAACTTAAATCGAAATAGCTTGCAGGGAACTTGTGGTCCGGAGCTTTTCTTATACACAGCCTGAGTTTGTTTTCAATTTCGATGAGATTCTACAAAATTAACATGAATTAAAAGTTAAAAAGTTTATTAGGATGATTTAAAGATGCTACTTTAAGTCGTTTGACAACTTTGGATCTCAGTGTTTTGTCCTTTTGCGTTACAAATCCGCTTATCAATTCCCTAAACCAGTTGGCGCAGTGAAAAAAGCAGTCGGCAACTTGGTTTATTTGATCTGATTCTAGATCTTCTACATCATCGACTGTTGGTAAAATAATGGCACAACCTAACAGTGCATCGATGGTAGATAGTTTACCGTCCTGTTGTCGATAGTGAAGTAGTCTTAGTAATCGAAAATGGGGTGATAAAACTAATATAGTAGGGTTTTTGTTCAAAGTTAAACCACTTATATTTATGCCCATTGGAGTTTCTACCTCTTGCGGACTGAAATAAAAACATATTATTTATTTATAAAACAAAGCTTGTTCTGAAAAAATTATATATCTATATCGAAATCTTAAAACTTTTAGGTTTCTACGTATATTAATTATTGCAGATATACAGAATCAAACAAACAATTTCGGAACATACGGTTTATAATGTGTTTACGCAAGATTTTCTAAATCGGGCCTAGTACCCAGTTAATAGAACTATGCTCAAGTGCAGATGGTGATTATTTTCGGATTTATTTTCCGTAACCAATAAGTCAAGTCAAAATTAATTACATTCTAATTAAAAAAGGTAGATAAGAAAACTAAAAACAAAAGTAAAAAATTAAAATTCAAATAAAAGAAACAAACAAATTTTTTAACTATTTAAAAATTCTAATGTCATAAAATATAATATAAAGAACAAAAATGTATATGCACAATACTAAGTACAAAATGACAATTGACAAATATATAATATACACATAAATTAAAATGAGCTACTTAATTCAACCGATCACAGAAAAATTCATCCAATTTGTAGTAGGCCTTTTCGAGCAAGAGTTTCTTAACTCGCTTTTTACATATTAGTTAGATTAAAACAATTAAGAGGATGTGTCAAATTTTTGACATTAGAATCTAAAGAATTTAGATAATCTATGTTGAAGCCACCTGTTAAAATTATTGACGCATTTGGTGGTATTTGAGATAGAATATTTTCTACGTCATTGTTAAATGAATTAATTCGGTGATTTGGTGATCGATATACCACAATTATGAATAAATTTAATGAATTACTGTATGCAACTGAAAATTCAAATTCCTTTTCAATAAGAAGTTGGTTATATTTGTTAATGTTAATAAAGGCATGTTCATTATAAAAATCCCAGAGGCATATCTGTACTTAACGTTCGAACTATTCAAAGACAAATATTTTTAGATATTTCCATTTGTTTATATGTGCTATTAAACAGTCCATTGTATACAGTATCGGCTATTGAACGCTTTCCAATATGCTTTGCTAATGTCAAAGAGAAAACTACAGTTTAAACGGCGCGGCACACAATGAGAAATACCTCCATGTGGATAGGAATTTTAGCAAAGCGTTTTGAAAAGTATTCAATAGGCGACACTATATTTTGTTTTATATTGTACTTCTTAGAAGAAAAATATTGCTGCTATTAAATTTTAGTAAATAAAACATTCGTAGTGTTTGGACACTCTTATTTCAAGAGTTTTTTAGTTAAAATTAAAATTATATTTTCATTCGGCAAGTAGATATATAATTTTTTTGGTATAATATGTGATTCGCTCTGACCTAGAGTAGAGTAGGGGAAACAGTCGCTTGTATTGTGACACGTGACTTTAAGTTATTCGTATTTCTTCACATCTTTGTCACATTTAAATTTGGAATTATTTTTTCCCATAATTTCCTTTGTTATAACATTGTAAAACGGATGTTCCAAAATATTGTTTCGAATCTATGTATATAACAAAACTTACTTGTTAAGAATGTACTGCAAACTCATCTCTATATCATTTACCGGGGGTGGAATAACCTCCGAAATATATAATTTTCTAAAATCACCAGTAATTGTCTCATACAACCAAGCCAAGAAAAACTTGTCCAAATGATAGTTTGCAATCAACATTGAGGCCAGTTGGTCGTAATAGAGACCCATCAAGTCAGGATTGCCCATACTACAAGTGTTAGCGAGTTCTAAAAGAGTAGCCGCTTCTCTAGCTCGTCCTTGCGGCAGGTCTGATAAATGTTTAATGGGAGTTGTTGGCAAAGATGACGTATCTGAGTTGTCTGAAATTCTGGCTATACTACGTGCCATTACTACAGCTGATATTATTCCCCTAAAACATTTATTTCATTCATAAGAGAAGAACGGTTTTTATCATGAATTGCACACTTTACTTTTTCTACTGTGTGTTATTTTTACCGTTTGTAAACATACCGATATAATTTTTGATCAAAACAAGGATATAGATACACTGCCTTAACTGTAAAAAAACTATTTTACCTGTATTTTATAGACTTTTTTGTACTGCACAACTGTTTCCTAACAATAATATGAATTTCATTTTGGACTCCGGACATAGAGGCATCGGCATTTGGACCGCAGGTTAAAGTACACAATATTTCAAATACTACTTTAACATCGCTTGGTTGTAAAGTATCTAATTTCTCCAATAACCTTGTTAATATTATTATATGCTGTTCTAACTTGTCACTGTTACTTAAAAACGACGATATAATGTTCAAAACGTTGCTAACAATATTTTTGTCACTAGCTCCAGTAAGTACTATTAGACTGTTAAGTATTTCTCTTCTATAAATGGACTCTGTGTACTCGTGATTAAAGAGGAGCTTAAATAACGTAGAAGAAAATTCTTTAACAATTTGATCATTAGAGGCGGTTTTTACTAAAGTGCAACCTGAAATGAAAATAGGGAATAACAGTGGGAATAACCAATGGACAGTGATAGAGTGACGTCATTTTAACCAAAACAACGGCTGTGACAATGCTGTCATAACTTTAAATGTGTGAAGATTTTTGCATTGTTTACGTTCAAGTTACCGAATGTATTGTAAATTATTTTATAATTAGTTGTGTTCCCTTTCTTTATCATTAAAAATGTTGCTGTAAAGTTTAATTTTCTTAATAGAGGTTTCAATATATTCAGAAAAAAGTGTAGAATGATTTAAGACAGTAAAAGCACAAAAACCAATCTCATCGGAGCATCAAAAAGCCTACATATACTTTTTAAAGATACAGCAATACTTTTTAAGGATTGTTTTATGTAGCACCAAATAGAGTAATTACTGCAGTGATAATGGTTGAATGCCTGATAATTTGATTATGCTAGATGAGGGTTTTCTCATTTCAGATTTATTGCCTACATGTTAGCATCCCTCTATTTTTAATGACTTCACAATTAAGAACAGGTTTTATGTACTAAGACAATACTTTCATGTGTAACTTACAATAATAAGAATAAAATGCTGTTCAGTTCTTGATAGTATCAACATCTAGTTTGGCATCTCATATTTTTATAGTTTTATAATATTTCGACAGCTTAAAAATAGCTTACAAATGTGCTGTGGTTCGGTTACTATCAAGACAGCTGTAGACACCTGATTGCCTAATAACTTCCACCATGTTGCAATTTCATGTGAATTAACTGTCAGTGATATTAGTCCCTTGTCTTGTGACATTGTTTTTTATGACTTTAAAGAAGCGGATTATGTAGCTTTAAATAATTATTTTGCTCCAATTAATTGGGAGGATATTTTAGTCAATAATGATATTAATGTTAGTGTTGAAATTTTTTATCAGATTTTAAAATTGGCATTAGCTTTATTTGTATCTGTTAGGAGATATAAACCATCAGTATACCCTAGATGGTTTTCAGCTGAACTTAAAAAGTTTTATTTCTCGCAAGAAGGCAGCTCATGCTGTATTCAAAAGTACTCGTTCAGCTGTTGATTACTTAAATTTTTCTAACCTTCAGTCTCAATGTAAAAATTTGTCAAAACTAAATTATGAAAATTATATTTCTGGTATAGATATGAAGGTTTGTGAAAACACAAAATACTTCTGGAACCACATTAATTCTTTGAAACAAGACCATGGTATTCCCAATAGAAAGTATTATAATGGTACAATTGCTGATAATGGAAAAGACATCAGTAATTTGTTTGCTACGCATTTCTCCAGTGTTTATAAGAAAGATATTGTAGATGAGCCAAACCTTCATTATAATGCTTTTAACCAGCCTGATATTCCCTTTATACAGTTTTCCTTAAGTGGTGTTTATGATGGTATTAACTCCCTAAAATAAAAATTAAGTTATGGTCCAGAAGGAATCCCTGCTTAGTTTTTGAAAAAATGTAAATTCATTCTTTCCAAACCACTACAGTTTTTATTTAATTCCTCTTTGGAATTACAACAGTTTCCTGCAAAATGGCGTGATAGTTTCATTACCCCCATATTTAAAAATGGTCAGAAAGATGACATAGTTAACTATGGCCCTGTAGTTTTACTTTCTGCAATACCTAAATTATTAGAATTATTGTTATATAAACCTTTTTGTCATGGCATTGCAAAAACATTTTGATTGAACAACAGCATGGGTTTATGGGGGGTAAGTCTACTAATACAAATTTACTGCTCTACAAACAGTATATCATTTCTGCCTTCAGGAGGGGGTGTTAGGTTGACTCAATTTACACTGACTTCTCGAAGGCATTTGACACGGTGAACCATGATTTGCTTTTAAGGAAACTAGTGAAGTTCGGGTTTCCAAACTACTTAGTGAAATGGTTAGAAAGTTACCTGCAATCCAGGGTTCAATATGTCAAAGTTAAAAGTTTTACTTCGATTCTAATAAAGGTAAGTTCAAGGGTCCCCCAGGGATCTCATTTGGGACCATTACTAATTAATATATTTATTAACAATATGGCTTCAGGATTTAAATATTGTAAGTTCCTACTATTCGCCGATGACTTGAAATTATTCATGGAAATCTTAAACTTACCTGACTGTTTGAAGTTACAGGATGATTTAAACTATTTTGGACTTTAAATAATGCCATGTCTTTAAATCCACGTAAATGTTTTTCAATCACCTTCACAAGATCAAAAAACCCTATAAATTTTCTTTATAATATCAATACTACTGTTTTGGAGAAAGTTAGTGAAATCAAGGATCTAGGTGTGATCTTCGATAGTTCTTTGATATTTGTCCCACACATGAGATCCATCATTAGTAGAGCTCTGAAAACATTGGGATGTGTGACCAGGAACTCTAGGGAATTATCTGTGCCTACATTCCGAACCCTTTACTTAACACTAGTGCGCAGCATCCTCTTAGATGCTTCACCAGTCTGGTCACCTCATTACCGGACTCATATTTTAAATTGAGAAGCAGTTCAAAATAGGTTTCTAAGAACTTGTCAGTGGAGGTTACATATGCCTTATCTTTCTAAGAGGGAGCTTAATAACCATTTAAACTTATTGTCAGTTGAGAAAACGTTAATTAGTAATGATCTTTTATTTATTTATAACCTCCTGGATGGGAATACAGCTTGTCCGAATATGTTGGAGCTAATATACTTTAGATTAAACAACATAAATATTAGAGAGAAACCATAATTAGCTTTCATCATACGAACTACGGACTCAACAGTCCTTTAACCAGATTTCAAAGACAAGGAAATGAAATTAACAGACACACTGATCTTTTGGGAGTTAGTCAGTTTAGGTTTAAAAATCAGCTGAGGGAGTACTTATCGAGTTAGCTTTAGTTTTTTTTTTTCTAAGTTTTTTGTGATATTTAAGTTAGGTTTAAAATATCTATTGATAATAATTATTTTGTAAAAGGAGATTTTCCGTAAATAAATAAAATAAAATATACATGTTACATAATTTGTTTTGACCTCGGTTTTGATATTACGACTATCAAGGTATTACATACTTTAAGGGTACACCTTTGGGTAGAATATGAACAAATTCAGAAAATTCTCGTGAATTTCTTCTCCATTAAGTGGGAATAATGTAAAAGTACCTTTCAAGTAACAAGTCTATTATTTATGATGTTGGATGTTGAATTATAGCAAAAATTAAGAGATTATTCTGAATTATTCACAAAACTTACCTATTTCAACAATGGAAGTAAAGTAGTCCTTCAATAGTTGTTGGGGTAGATATTTTTCAAACATTTTCTCTAGCAAATTAATTTTAAATAGACCAGCATGAACTCTTTTTTTAAAAATAGCTTCAATTATTCGCTTTTTGAAGGGCACAATATTGTACAACATGAACATTATGAGATAATCAATTGGCCTGTGATCGCTATGTGATCTTATACTTGATATCATATTAAGCCATGCCTCTGATATAGCTTTTGAAGACAGAGTAAATGATTGCAACTTATTAAAGATAAGTATTTTTGAGGTTTCTTTTTCTTTGGTTTTCTGTATGGTTACCATTATGGAATCAAGAGCATTACGAATTTTTAGAAGAACTGGTACTGAGTTTTGTGATTTGCAGTCAGTCATCAGGAACTACAAAAATGAAATTTATTGCCAGTTAGGTTTTTAAACTGAGGTTTTTCATTTTCAGCTAGGGATGTTGTGATACTACTAATATATGATACTGGGTAATTTAGCATAAGATTATTTTGCTTTCAATACTTTACCCATATCAGAACTATTCCCTATTCAATATATACATCATTTATTTAGTAAAAAAAAACTATTTTTTACATGTCAATACATCTTCACATTTAAAATACAAAAAATTCATAAGTATAGAATCAACATACATTTAAAATGCAACAAAAACATAATATACAGTACACTTACATGTCAACAATACAAAACATAATAAAAGAAAAAAAAAACATCAATTGGTCAGCAAGTACTCACGCAGTTTTCTTTTAAATATTGCTGCGTTTGAAGAACATTTAATATCTTCAGGCAAATTATTAAAGGCCTATAAACCCTTAAAAAAACTGAATTTTGTAGTCTTATTTCATGTATTGTGTTCATGAACATCCTGATTATAACTTAAAATATTTTGTAAATATACTGGGGAGATTCCTGATTCAATCTTAAATATAAATAGCACGGAGTAGAATAGCAAAAATGTTTAACAGGCAACCACTGAAGCACATTCAACATGGAACTGATTGGTTTCAATCTCGAACAGCTCAGTATTATCCTCATACCTCTATTATGCAACTTTTACAATCATTGCAACTCATTCTGGTTGAGCAAACACAATATAGTGGCACAATAATTAAAATGAGGTAATATTAGAGTATTATAAATTATTATTTTAGCCCATTTGCTGAGATGTGGAGAACAGCGCCTCAAATAGTTTATTTTAAATGTTATGCTTTTGATGACATTATTAGCATGGTCCTTAAATTGTTAATTTATATCATCTAGGGGTTATAACCTAGATATTTAAATTTTTCAGCTCTCTGAAACTTTATTCCATCAACAGAAACACACTGCGATGCTACATTTAATTTTTTTAAATAGTCAGTACCCCCAATTAACATCCACTTTGTCTTTTCGTAATTTATTTTCAACGAGTTTCCGTTACAATAATCATATATATATTACTTATAGAGCTATTAATTTCTTTAAAACAAGTTTCAGTGTTTTCATGGGTAAAATATATCAATGTATCATCTGAAAATAAGTTTATTGAGCATCTTTCGACTACACCAGCAATGTCATTAATATAAATTAAAAACAGTAGCGGACCTAGAAACTACCCTGTGGCACCCCCATATTATTCTCTACAGTATCTGAAACACAATTAGTTACCTTAACCTTCTGTTTCCTATTTTCCATATAATGACCCAACCAGTCCAGTGCACAACCCCCAAACCAATAGCTCTTAATTTCATTAATAATTTACCTCTATTAATAGTCTTCAATGCCCTCTGTAAATTTAAAAACACCGCCAGTGTAACCAAATTGTTTTTAATTGATAACTTCCAGTCATGCAACACCAACTGTAAAGTAGTTTCACAGTTGTGTTTACTACTGAATCCTGATTGCACATTACTTATCAAACTGTTCCCCTCTAAATAAATAATCAATAATTTGAAGATATATTACTTTTTCTATTAGTTTTCCAACAACACTGATCAAATTTATTGGTCTTAAATGGGTAGCCTTACTTGGATTCGAAATTTTTGGTATCAGAATTATTGTAGCAATCTTAATATCATCTGGAACTAAGCTTGTTTCAATGGAAAAATTTATAATATGTAATAGAGGTTGGGATAAACTCTCAAATATAATAATACAATTATGAATATTTCGTCTGGACTATTTTTATTTGACATTGAAAATAATATTCCTTTTAATTCATTATAATTAATTAGTTTAAAATGTACCAAAGTTTCAATTTCCCTTAGATGAGGTATAATCGGATAATTATTAATAGAAGGTAATTGCTCAGATATTTGTTCAATACTCTTTACATAGTAATAATTTAAAGTATTCAGAAAAGTAAAAATCCTGATGAATGTCACAAATATTGTCGAATTCAATATTAGTATTAGTAAAACTGCTTATTATATTAGCTATTGGAATTAATGATTTCAATGTTTTCCACATCTCAGTAGGGTTGCCCTTGTTTAAATCTATGTTAGTTTCTAAGAATTTGCTGTTTCCATGTTTAATTACATTCACTGCTTTATTCCTATTACATTTATATATTTGCCAGTTTTCCTCTGATTTGTTAGTAAGAAATGTTTTATAACTTTTATCTCTCACACTAGTAGCAGCTCTAACCTGACCATTCCACCATTTCTGATATGGTAAAACATTAACTTGTTTTTTTGGTGCCACTTCATTGATAACTTTCAAAATTTTCATGTAACCAATAATTCCATGTAATATCTTTTAGATTATTATTAATTATTGTATAATCAATAAACCTACCTCTACTTTCAATAACTATCGTTACCCTTTTCTGTTTTTTGTTTGTTTAGTTTTGCAACTTCTGTGACAGCTGATTTTTGGTGTGTCTATTATGTCAGTTGTAATGTCTGAGTTTGTAATAATTAAATCAATTAATGATCCTCCACAATATTTTTTAATCTTTTCGAATAAGTTGAATTACTATACCAATCAATATTGAAATCCCCAACCAAAATAACTTCTAAGTTAGTATCAGTTAAATTCAGCTCACACCATTCTTCAAAAAAGTCTAGAAACAAATTAATTCCAGTACTAGGAGATCTATAAAAGCATACTATTATAAACTTTTTGTTATTATGTAAGAGTTTTACTGAAATTAACCAATGAGTCCTATCTAAAATTACTTTCTTATTATTTAAAACTTGTAATATCTGATTCACATAGAGGATAACTCCCCCAGTATGTCGACTGTTGCTATCAGCTCCACATATTATATATAACTGTTAATATTCATTTAATTATTATATATATCTGAAGTTAAATGTATTTCTGACAGGCAAACTATCAGTGGATATTTTGTAATAATAAAATTTTTAATTTCTTCAAAATGTGCAGTTAAACTTTGACAATTCATATACAACAAAAAGTATCTAATCTATGATTATTTGCCCCATTTGATTTTCTCCTAAAAAAAGGACTTGTCATATCTGCATACAAAAAGTGCAGTGTAGGATCACTTTAATGTATATTATGTTTTAAAAAATTACCTGTGACCTTTTTGTTTTTTCTAATTGTCTAAATCTAAATATGTACTGCTAACCCAAAGTACTTCCAAGATATGGGTTTTGATACTTATGTTCAGATACCCTTATCGATACTTTTGTTCTAATACCCCAATATTTTACTGATATCACAACATCCCTATTTGCAGCATTTTTAAATACTTTTTACAAAGTATTAAGTACTCACTGATAGCAAAATTGGGAAATCTTTCAAAGAGGTCCCACTGCTTATTCTATCTAATATCCTATTTTGAACATCAGTTCTCATTTCATTATCCAAATCCAAAGCATTTAAACAATCTATTATGGCTCCAGTCAACTCGTCTTTATCATCTAACAATTTACATAACTGTTTTGTAGTTTCACTGGATTGACTGTCTGGTATAATTTCTGGAATAGTGTCTAATATCTCTAATTGAGCAGGATATGTAGCTATTTCTAAGATATCAATCAATTTTGTTGTTAATTGTTCGGGATCCTTCACATAAGGTAAATAGCGAAGAGTGTTTAACAATAAATGCAACCATGAAGTGTCATCTGAAGAATCTGAACATACCGATGTAATTTCATCAAAAATGATTTCGAACACATCAGTTTGGAGACTTGGTACTTTTAAAAAAATCCTAAAAGCACAATTATAAGTTACACAAGTTTGGACCGTTTGTTTTTCATAAAAACCTACCTAAACAAACTTTCTTGCTCATTTTTTTGCTGCGTACCACTAAGTGCTTCATTACTATTATTCTTTCTAAGTTTTGTTAATACTAATGCTTTTCGGAAATACTTTTCTTTCTTGCACATTAACTTTAAACCGGCTACAAAATTCTTAAAAGGGCGATCCGATTTATCCAAATATTTCTCTAAATCTCTCACAACTAATGCCTGTTCTTGCGTAAGAACATGCGGTTCGTCACTTAACGAAAGTTCTATTCCATTTACTGCCAAAATTTCTTTAAATACCTTTATTTGATTTTTAATTTCTTGAGTTTTGATAAAACCTGGATTTTGTGAGGTTAACACTTGACTAAATTGCGAGCTTTGGGACATTATCCAGCTTTAAAAATAAGACAAATGCTTATTAATATTCAGTACTTACATATGAACTTGTTTAAAAATGTTCAAACAGTTTAAAATGTTTCTGTTTATTAAATTAGCCAAATTGGCGGTTTTATTTATTTAAAATAAAAACTGATTTGACATATGACATGACATTAGCAACTGGTTTAGTGCTGAGTTCGGCAATTCCGGGTTTTGTACGGAGCAATGAAGTGGAGAGGAGGAGGATGATAACTGTCAATGCGCTAGTTCAGTGTGATGTCATTTTGGTTCCATTGACATTTAATTCTAACCAAACTTTTAACAAAAACATCAATAAATTTGACATATACATTTTTACTGTTTTTATTTTATTTCAAAATATTTTTTACAGGTCATAAAAAATAGTTTAAAGGTATGTAATTGGTAACTAAACGATTGTATATTTGATACATGCTATCTACTTACTTTAGGAATATATTTATAAAAGTGAAAAAACTATATAATTTAGGTAAACAAAACGCACTCAAAAAATTACTGTCACTTTAATTAGGTTCTTTCGTTCGCTATTGGTGTAGTGACCACCAGTGTAAATTACACCAGTTACACCACCTTATTTACCCTAATTTACTTCCTCCTTATTCCTTATACACATGGACGAGTGTAATTCACTCCTGCTAAATAGCTGGTGGAGAAAATATCCACCAGTGGATACCACATCGCCGACAGGAAGGTATAGTGGGTTTTACACCGGGCCAAACGAAAGGTATGGGTGTGGGTCGGTGTAGTTCATTACTACACCAGTGGGACGAACGAAAGAACCTATAGTCTATCATTGCGTTCGGTCTGCCAAGTTCCTTTAACTCCTTTAACACTTTTTACTCCAAATGACCCTTTTAGCGTTCGGTTTTGTTCAATGTTTTGTCCGATTAGTGACAGTTTAACACGCTTAAATGTCATTTAAAAGCACCCTAAAAAACTCCGCTTTTGTCCCACTCCAGCCCCTACACTATCCGAACTCGCCTAGTGGAACCATAATTACATCCATCACTGAACTAGAGCATGAAAAAGTCTAGACACTATGCACAATTTCATTTTGCACATTTTGTAAACAAGATTCAGGGACAGTTTACAACATTTTGTGCAACAATTATAAAATAGTGCACCGGAAAATAATTAACAAGTATAATTTAATACTAAATCGAAATAAAAGCACAAAAAATCACAAATATAAGCAAGATAACAAAGAATTGACGCCAAAAAAGCCACAACACAAACAAAAAAACAGCTGAACATGAACATAATCGCTAAACAAATCCAATCCTGGAATTTGTTTACAGTACTTTAGGGCAACCTCTCCTTGTCATTTGCGTGTGTAAGAGTGGAAGGTTAAATCACGCATAATTTCTACACTCGTGATGGATGCGCAGACGGTACCTTATCGTTCTACCCTCTCTACTTCTTTGGTACGGAGTTGATTTATGGAACAAGGTCATGTCATAACAATCAATTGATTAAGGGTGAGATTACAGAAAGTCTGCAACTTTGCAAATATGGCGGAATTACAGATGCAAGTATCAAGTTTTCGCATTCCAAAAAATATCTGCAAATTCGTAATATTTACTTTGGTTTATTACCCCCAACAACACTAAACCCAAATTCACTCTTAAGGGTGAGATTACAGAAGCTCAGGGGCCCAATTCCTGACGCCTTCGTTAACTTATCGCATGCGATAACGTATGCGACTTGATGAAAGTGTATTCCTGAACTGGCGGCATTCGTCAAATTTATTAACGTATGCGCTAAGAAATGATGATTTTCAAAGAGCGCTCATGACCGTTCGACAACTACTTTGTCGCATTCGTTTAGGTGAAAGTAAGGTTATAATTGTCAATTAATCCTGCTTTATCATATGTGATTCGTGTTTCTATCTATTGGTTTTGTTTTGTGATATATTATTGGAAAATATTTTGTTTTTAATTTGACTCTATTGAACATTTTATTAGAATATAAAAATGAAACTTTTTGTACCGTGAACTCTTTTATTGGACGTTTAGGTGCCACTTTATTTTGGTTTATTTTATTTAGTATGGATGATATAGAAGAAATATGAGTTTTACAGGCACTAAACAATGTTATAAATTCTACTAAAGTTTCACGCAATTTTTCCGTTATTCGTGAACCACGCTGTTCCATTTTTAATATTCTAAATCTAAATCACTCCAATTCTCAAGTCCAAAATACAAATAATCACAGTTAAAACGTCTAAAAACCAAAAATTATTAGACATCCAATCCATTTAATTTTATAATTTTTGGCAATTTTGACATGTGTCAATGCAATTATCTCATATTCAGTGATACCATCTTTGGTATTCTCAATCCTCATTGGTTAAGACTATGCAATAATCAAAGACTCTTCGTTAACACGTTCGACTTGATTCGCGATTATCGCATGGTGTTCAGGAATACTAAATTGCTGTCGTATGTGTTAACGACCATGCGTTACTTAGCGCATGCGGCAGTTAACGCATGTTTCGAGAATTGGGCCCCAGGGGCCCAATTCCTGACGCCTTCGTTAACTTATCGCATGCGATAACGTATGCGACTTGATGAAAGTGTATTCCTGAACTGGCGGCATTCGTCAAATTTATTAACGTATGCGCTAAGAAATGATGATTTTCAAAGAGCGCTCATGACCGTTCGACAACTACTTTGTCGCATTCGTTTAGGTGAAAGTAAGGTTATAATTGTCAATTAATCCTGCTTTATCATATGTGATTCGTGTTTCTATCTATTGGTTTTGTTTTGTGATTTATTATTGGGAAATATTTATTTTTAATTTGACTCTATTGAACATTTTATTAGAATATAAAAATGAAACTTTTTGTACCGTGAACTCGTTTATTGGACGTTTAGGTGCCACTTTATTTTGGTTTATTTTATTTAGTATGGATGATATAGAAGACATATGAGTTTTACAGGCACTAAACAATGTTATAAATTCTACTAAAGTTTCACGCAAGTTTTCCGTTATTCGTGAACCACGCTGTTCCATTTTTAATATTCTAAATCTAAACCACTCCAATTCTCAAGTCCAAAATACAAATAATCACAGTTAAAACGTCTAAAAACCAAAAATTATTAGACATCCAATCCATTTAATTTTATAATTTTTGGAAATTTTGACATGTGTCAATGCAATTATCTCATATTCAGTGATACCATCTTTCGTATTCTCAATCCTCATTGGTTAAGACTATGCAATAATCAAAGACTCTTCGTTAACACGTTCGACTTGATTCGCGATTATCGCATGGTGTTCAGGAATACTAAATTGCTGTCGTATGCGTTAACGACCATGCGTTACTTAGCGCATGCGGCAGTTAACGCATGTTTCGAGAATTGGGCCCCTGTAAATCGTACTTGCATCTACAAATTCAGTTACATGAAATTACAGAAACATGTTTTCACTTTGTGCATCTGTAAATCATCTGTATTTTTGCAGAAGGTTAGAACATCCTACAAACTTGCAGATTGTCAATTTTTACTTTCCTTTTTTTTAATAACCATCGAGGCTTCTGTTTCTTTTGATTGAAAACAGTTCGTGGTCAGATTATCAAGTTTTTAAACATAGTAATGTATTTGGGTTTAGTGTTGTTGGGGGTAATAAACCACAATAAATATTTCGAATTTGCAGATATTTTTTGGAATACGAAAACTTGATACTTGCATCTATAAGGGCCGAGCCCACCGTTGTGTTAAACGGAGATTAAAATGACATTGTTAATGTAAAAATGTCATTTTAAACTTTGCTTAACACAACGGTGGAACCGGTCCTAAGTCAGCCATATTTGCAGATCTGCAAAGTTGTCGCCATATTTGCAGATCTGCAAAGTTTCAGCCGTTCTGTAATCTCACCCTAAAGTCATAGGCCATAGATTAGGGGAAAGTACTAAAGCTCTCGGGCTGTAAGGGCCGATTCCACCGTCGTGTTAAACTAAGTTTAAATAACTAAACGAAGATTAAAATGACATTGTTAAATGTAAAAATGTAATTTTAATCTTAGTTTGTAATTTAAACTTCGTTAACACAACGGTGGAATCAACCCTAATTAGATTATTAATGCCAAAAATTATGTCTCATCAAATTGATATTAAAATATTCTCGAGATTTAGATTCAACAAAAATAGCCGACTAATATCAAGGTCTTGGTATATTACCCTTGATAATAGCTTTGTTCGCGGAGCTTGTCGACGACAGCGACATGTCTACGACAGGTGAGCATGCTTAAAATCAAAATGCGCATATTCATCTGTCGTGGACATGTCGCCGACAGGATCCGCGAACAAAGCTAGATGTTACCACGGCAAAAGGAGTTCCAAGGGCTAAAATTGCCGAACGCATCTAATGGGACATAGACGTGAAATATCGATGGTGATTCTGGTGATATCGAAAGCAAATATCGTCACAAAGCACGCGCTTTGTGAAAATCGATATTATTAGGGCCGATTCCATTAATCGAAGTTTAAATTACTAAACGAAGATTAAAAAGGACATTGTTAATTTAAAAATGTCATTTTAATCTTCATTTATTATTAAACTTCGTTTAACACAACGGTGAAATCGGTCAATTTCCACCGCTAGTCGTTAATAAGTAAGCCAAGCTTAAAATTACATTTTAAACCTGGTTTATTTCTTAACTACTAGCGGTGGAATTGGACCTAATTGAATACCTAGTTTTTCGACAGAATTGTCTTTAATTAAAGGCCGATTCCACCGTTGAGTTAAACGAAGATTAAAATGACATTTTTACAATAACAATGTGATTTTAATCATCGTTTAAAACAAACGGTGGAATCGGTCCTAAGATTATTAATTAAATATCTGCCTCGAACATCAAGATAGAATAAAGAATAAGAGACGACATAAACACTATTTCGCGATATGACAAATGGATGCACTTTAAATGACGGAAAAGTGTAATTAAAATGGCGACTTGAGTCGTACTTTGATTTATTTTAAGTCAATAGTTTTATATTTTGAAGACTTACGGAATGAACATAATTTTATATCATTTGTATGAAGCTATTTAAAGAAAAATGGTATTTATTCTCACCAAAACTGACTAGCTACAATATCTCGAGTTTGACATTGACGTAAAAATGTAATGGAAAGGTGCGGACAATTTAGCATCTCGTCTTCATTCTATCTCAATGACCCCGAATAAGGTTATAACCAACAATATTTCAGAAACGGTGCTAAGCAACAAAAAAGTTGTGTTAAACGTAGTTTAAATTACTAAGGACCGATTCCACCGTTGTGTTAAACGAAGTTTAAAATGACATTTTTACATTAACAATGTAAATGTAAACGAAGATTAAAATGACATTTTTACATTAACAAATGTAATTTTAATATTCGCTTAGGGCCGATTCCACCGTAGTGTTAAACGGAGATTAAAATGACATTGTTAATGTAAAAATGTAATTTTAAACTTCATTTAACACAACGGTGAAATTGGTCCTTAGTAATTTAAACTGTTAATATAATTTTTTTTTAATCTTCGTTTAATAATTTAAACTTCGTTTAACACAACGGTGGAATCGGCCTTAAGCGAAATTTAAAATGACATTTTTACATTAACAATTGTCATTTTAATCTTCGTTTAGTAATTTAAACTTCATTTAACGCAACTGTGGAATCGGCCCTAAAATGTAATAATATCCTATTATTAAGAATCATTTTAGTTTACAGAAGATGCCTCGGCCAGAACAAGCATCTAACATCAGGAGCTTTGTTCTAAAAATGTTTGCCGTTAAATATTTCAACCTTGTTCGGGGCAAAATATTCATGAATCAAATAAGCATTTGACATGTAATTTTAACCAAATAATACAAAATTAAAAATAACGCGTAGTAGTCGACGCCGATGACACCAAATAAAAAAAAAAACATCCCGTTAATTTTATAACATAGGGTTCATTTTAACCATATTTTTACAGAAATGACACCTCCTATGACGATTTAATTCAAAATAAGAAACCCAAATATGCCGGTTGAACGAATTTTAACTACTACAAAATGCAATAAAAGGGAACAAAAATGTAAAATACTATTACCAGCCGCAATTTTTGATAAAGTTAGACAACATCTTCTCGGAACAGTGAAGAATACTTTTGGTTGATTATGTTAATTATTTTCTATTTTCATAGAGTTTTATTCTTCCTTTTTTTTCTTAACTATTATTCCCCAAAAAATGTTTTTAGCACGTTTTACTAGATTTTTTGTTAGATCGACTGTCACGGTGACGTCTGACGTCGTTCCTTCTTGTTCTGGATCACCATGATACTCTGTAATCTCCACATACTTTGATTTTCTTTTACTATACGGAGAATTGTCGCACTGCGCAGCTTTCTGAGTGCCTTTTAAAAGGAGATAGAAAACTCCGCTATTTTGATCCCTTATTACGTGTTGCCTACATCTTGGCGCAATATTTTTAATAGGTGCGTTTTAATCATCCGCTTCTGCTTCGGAATTGTCGGTTTTCTTGTTTTAATCTGACAGGTTAAAACGACTAAAGTGTGGAAAGTGAAATTTTTCACACGAGTTGGGAAATATTGTCGCACGAGGCATATGTCGAGTGCGGCAATCACACAAGTGGAAAAAATCATATTCACACAAGTGATGTACAATATTTTTTCTACCACCACAAAATAATTTTATCAAAAAATATGTAAAATTAGGAAATTGGCTATAAAGATTCCATCAAGATTTGGCTCGTTTTAGATTTGTTTTTTAAAGTGCCTTATTGAATAATTTTTAATTTTACAGATAGTATTTAGTCAAAATTAAAAATATTGTGATTCCATTATTTACAAACAATTTCGTAGGATGCTGAATGATAAAGATAAAATAACATCAGGTACAAAAAATATTAGAATACATTAATGTTTTTCATTAGTTTATTTTTTTTTAACTAAAAATTTTTTTTTTCGTCGTATTTTTCCAATTTTCATATTTTTTTAAAATAAAATAATAAAAAAAGATCATTCACCGGGAACTGAATCAGCGTCATGAAATGGTCGCGAAACAAGTTGAAAAAATAAGACGACACTGCTCTACCACGGTTTTGTCATTTGACTTATCTAATTAAATATGTATATAAATCAGGAAAAAGTAAAATTAATGTAGATAATTACTTTAAAATTCTATTAATAATTTGTTAAACAGGAATATCTAAGATCTCTATTTAAAAATTAATGTTAACAATTTAATTATCAAATCTATTTTGCTATTAAAATGGACATAGCATCAATCAAAATAAAAATTAGAGATCTGACATATTTGACAGCTTATGCGGAGAGTAGATTCAGAGAGTAGCACACAAGGGTGGTAAGTAAATTTATCCACACGCGTGTGATATTGGGCACTTCCCATAACACTAAATAGTGCGATAGTGCTACACTTTCGATGCAAAGGAAAAGACCTATGGTGTGATGATAGAAAAAATCTTGTTTGTAATTCGAGCGAAAAGACATTTGTTATCTCGAGCAGTAAAGTACTTTCAGCTCTTAATAGACCATTTCTCGTAAAATAAACGTACCGAGCTTTATATAAAGCTATATCAAGCTAGAGGCCACTCCTGTGGCGGCACCATTCAAGACCTAGCGGGTTTTTTGTAGCTTTTTTGTTACACTATTTGCAAATTTGTAGCTTAGCCCAGGTCCGAAAAAACAGCGGATCCGCTAGCTTGAATTTCCATAAATTCCATAGTAGCGGCACAGATTCAGACCCAGCTGGTTTTTCGTAACTTTTTTGTAGCTTTTTTTGTTACGCTAGTCTCCCTTTTGTAGCTTGTACTGAACCTGAGAAAAGCGCGGATCCGCTAGCTTAGCGGATATTTGTAGCGGCACCAGCCCGGAAGTATATAAGTAGGTATTTGTTTACGTAGGTATATTTCCAAAGTTTGAAGTCTGTTTTTAATACCCGTCTATTCTACAAACTATAGACAGCCATCGAACATCTTCTAATATCCCTTCGCACAAGTGCGTGTGAAAGCTACAGAAAATCTGCACTAAGACAAGCAGGAATGGAACTAGACCAGCCCACATGGCCTGGCCAACGTTTCAACGCGATCGGTTCGTATAAATGGCAATGTTGACACAATTCCTTTTCCTCTCGCTCCAATGCCAACTCTTTGTATATAGCTTTCACTCGTTCTTGTTTTATCGCGCATTATGGAAGACATTCAGTGGCCGACTCGTATGCATACATAGTTTTTTGCAATAATTGAACCCAGGCACTTTTCCCACAATATTAAAGATTTGCGACACGAGCCTGCAGGCTAGTCCACATTAACAATTAAAAAATAAAATTAACAAATTTTTTTTGAAGGATTGTAAATAAATAAAATAAAAGCAAAATTATTACATTTTAGGTAATATCTAACATTGTGTGCTTCATTCCATTTGTCTCTCTAGTTCACCTAGGCGTAGAGTTCGTCTTTCTTAGATCTCTTGCTGCTACAGTATATTTTTTTTATAGGAAGATGCTGCGAATCTCTTGTTATTTGAATCATCTCACGAGGAAGCAAATAAGAAGGTCACGCTCAATGAATACTTATCCAGGGCTAAGGAGAACAGGACGATATATTATCTAGCAGCACCAAGGTATACATATTCGATTTTAAAATAACTATATTATATTTTACTCTCATCCATTTAACTATATGTATACACTAAATTGGTCCCGGTTTTGTTGATAGATTTATTTATTATTACTTTTAGTCGTGCTTTAGCCGAGAACTCCCCTTACTATGAATCTCTTAAGACGAAAAAACAGGAAGTTCTTTTCTGTTACGAACCTTACGACGAACTGGTCCTTATGCAGCTTCAACAATTCAAAGGCAACAAATTAGTATCGGTGGAAAAGGATATGAGGGAAGATAAACAAGCAATAGATCTTACAAATCTAGGTACCGTTTAAGTTTGTAAACCGAGACGATACCATTTATTTTAAAAGTTTGTTCTTTATGTTTTAGGTGATGACAGTTTAAAGCGTAGCGAGATTAACGATTTGACAGCATGGATCAAGGGAAAACTAGGCGATAAAGTAACCGCCGTGAATGCTACTAACCGTTTAGAAAGCCATCCTTGCGTGATAACCGTAGAGGAAATGGCCGCTGCTAGGCATTTCATTAGAACTCAAAGCCACAACATACCCGAAGACAAGAGATACGCCATTTTGCAACCAAGATTAGAACTGAATCCAAAGTATGGCTCGATTTAAATTTATTTTTGTAGTAACTAATACATTATTTGTTTATAGACATCCTATTATTAAAAAACTGCATAAATTGATGAGCAGTGATCCAGAATTAGGAGAGCTTTTGGCAAAACAGGTAAGAGTTCTTTTAAATCTTAGACTATATAATGATTAGTTCAACCTCTCCAGAAGATAAAAACAAACATTCAAATGGAATAGTTTCAGAAATAACGCGCTAATGCACATATCCTGCTTAACTAATTATTTCATTTTCTTTTTTAGTTATTCGCAAATTCTATGGTAGGAGCTGGACTTGTTGAAGATCCTCGAATTTTGCTAACTTCGATGAACGATCTTTTAGCAAAAGCATTAGAGAAACACTAAATTTACCATCACTAGTTGTATAGATTAATTCCCATTGTAAATATAAAAATTGGATATAGATTTTAAGACTTTCACACCGACCAGTTGGATCACGAAATTTACAGCAGAGGTATAATTGTTAAAACTTTATATAAAGATTATAAAGACGAATTAAATAAGCTTTAAATGATGATAACATTTCAAGTTCTATCTGCTGACAAAATAGAGAAAATTAAATATCTTATTGGTTTGTATTTAATATTTGACTTTACTGTATTTGAAACGATAAATGTATCTTAAATTAAAATGATTCCCATTTACCAAACTTCAAATTTGGAGTTATTACATTTATTAGGAATATCCAGTCTAGGTGACATATTAAAAATGTAATTTCAGTCAAAAGGTAGTTAAAAAAAAGCCGAATATTTGTGATCCAGCTTTAATCAAACGTGTTTTTTTTTATGAAGATTTAGTACTTAGTTTAAATTTTATCATTTTTTTCAATACCTCTTTATTTTTCTTATAATTTTATTGTAAAATGAAATGAACTAGAAAAACGCCATGGATAATTTTGAATTCATCTGTTAAATTAATGTTTTTGTAACTTTCTTATTTCTGTTAATGTTAATATAAAATATATCTTAAAATGATTTGACCCTTTTATCCTCTCCTCTCCTTGAAAACAAATAAATAAGTATTAGACTATCAATCGATTTGCGACAACGTTTCTTAATTCAAATATATGAGCCCGATAATCTTTGACAATGCGTGTTGTGTCTGAACAACATGAATTTCAAATTACGTAGGCGCTCATTAGTTATTGAGGTTGCTTAAAGTGGGCGGTCAGACCGGTCGAAATAAGCATCTAACGAAAAAGAAAACCGCCAGTAAAGATTGTGTCTAACTTTATTAGTCAATACTGTCTAGTGAATAATCAATGGCCAACTGTCAGCTGTTGTTGCACTTATCCACACAAAAAATAATCTTATTCCACTATTTAATATCACCAGATATTAGTTACAATATTTTTCAATCAAATATATGGATAAAGAAATATTATTAAAAACAAACTTAATCATCAATCTAAGAATAACTTCACAATTTTTTAAAATCGATTATAAAGTCCGTATGGCAAAAACTGGTTCCTAGTGGCTGGTAGCGTGCTGATCATGAATTTTAAAATTTAAGACTAGACAGTTTTGACTGGTCTGACCATATCAGTCAACTTGACCGATGCCAACGCAGCCTGAAAGCTTTAACAAGTGTTCTTACCAGTGACATATCCAGAGTAAATCTATGGGGGGGTAGTGGTAGTAAAGTTTATGTCTGGGGGGTAGTGGTAATATTTAAAACCTTATTTTTGATAACAATACATTTTAATACCTATAAAAAGTAAACTTTTTTAAAAAAATTGGGGGATTTACCCTCATAACGCCCCCCATTTATACGCCACTGGTTCTTGCAAGCTTCTATCAGAAATGACACTAGTCAGGTCATTAATAGTGATGGGCGTAATCGAATTATTGTTATAATCGAATGATGAGTATTCGAGTGATTTCAATAATCGGATTATCAATATAATTAACTTATTTTCCATGCCTTCATTTTTTGTTATTATTATCGTTTAAAAAAAATGAGGACAGACCGAAAAAATTAATAGCTTAAGAACATTGTTTTAATAAAATAGAAAAAAGTGTAGTACTTGTAAAAACAAGTCTGGAAATACCTAACTGCCTACCTACCTAAATCAACATTTAAAATGTATTCATCCAACATTTTAAATATTTTGTTTGAAACACTCAAATCATTTTAAAGAAGACTCAAATTCATATAAAGTTTTATTTTTATTACTTCTTGTTTCGTTTCCCTCGGCACTCGTTAGTGTATGTATTTGAATGATCAGCTCATTCGAATTCAAAATTTTGTTTCACTCGGTAGTTCATTTGAATGATCTGATCATTCGAAATTCAGTATGTCTCGGCACTCGCTAATGTATTTGAATGATATGATCATTCGAGTGATCCAGTTCAAGTTCTCGAGATATCTCGAAACATTTTAATAATCGAATGACCGATTATTTTTCATTCGAATTATCCCATCACTAGATTAATGAATAGATCAGCGGCATCCAAAATCCTGGCATGCTACAAATAAATAGGAAAGCTAGCGATTAAAATTACATCCGGGTACAGGACATACCCAAGGACATCGATAGTCTACCACAGCATTACTCAAAGTGTGGTCCGCGGAGCCCTAGGGCTCCGCAAAGCCTTTGTGGGGGCTCCGCGAAGAAAATAATAATCTAACAAAAAAAGCAGTACCATACAACGGGACTTTGAGACCTTTTTTTTTAGAATTCAGTAAGAGGAAGGAGTATATCAGTTTGGTATGAGAACCTTTTTTTTAGTTTTCAGGAAGAGAGGAGTATATGATTGTGGTATGAGGCTAGAGGAAGGAAGATATGAGTTTGAGGATTTTTTTGTTGTAGGGGCTGCGCAAAGAAACGGGAAGGACCTGGCAAGAGGCTAGAGCAAGGAGGATTTTGCACGAAGGACTTTTTTTGAAATGTGTTTAGGGCTCAGTCAAATATTTCGCTTTTCAAAAAGGTTCCGTCACCAAAAAAGTTTGAGAACCACTGGTCTACTAGCAATGGCTGGGCTACCACCTATATCTATTTAAGAATAGCAAAGAAAATAAAACGGTGGCAAAAGAAACACTGATGTAGAAATGGAGTGAGATGAGGGACCAATATGATGGATGAAGCAAAACATACATTAAAGACCATACAGCATGGAATAAGAGAAAATGGGGCGACTTAAGAGAAAACCGGACCTCTCGCGAAAGCAAAAATGTTTTAAGGATTTTCTAATATAAAATTGTATTTATATTCGTGCCACTGGAAATACTTTGTGATTTTATATGTCTTGACAATGTTAAGAGCTTTAAATTTGTGCAACGATAAGGCAGCACTCTACAGAGACGTTTAAGAAAAAAAGGTGGGAAAGCATATCATTTAAAAACTACTAGATATTAATTAAAACAAAAAGCAGCAAATTTTCATAGATTTAATACAGAATGGCGCGGAAATGTTTTTTTTTTAAATTTCTTTTAAAAGTTTTCAAAATAAATACTTTTCGAAGGTTTACAAAAAATTCAAGGTTTCTCCACCCTAAGTTTTGTTATTGTTGTTATTTCCTGAAAATTTCACAAAAATTGGACTAAAAATAAAGGCTCAGAATGAATTAGAAATTTTAAAGCCGTTCAGATACAACAGGACATGGTATCTTTGGTTTCTACCTACATAGAATAGGCAAGAAAGACGACCTATACTGGACACACACACACTGGATAGTGGTAAGAAAAAAATAGGTAATGAACGTGTGCCAAATATGAGGTTCACAAAAACAAGATCAGTGATTTGATATTACAGGGAGATATAGAATGAAACTCAGTCAGGAACAAGATACCCAGACAGCACAAATAGGTCCATTGGGCGTCCATTCGATATACAATTTTGGATGTCTGGACGTCCAAAGATGAGTTTTTTCTGGACTTCCGACGTCCGATGGACGTCCAAAGAAGTATACAAATGGCACACTTTTGACCGTTCATAGGACGTCCAATTCTGGATTATATTTGGACGTTCAATACTGGACATTTAAAAAACGTCCATTCCTGGATTATATTCCATTGAGACCACGCATCCCTACTTTTTTTTACACAACAGCAACTCACCATACACTATGTTATATTATTAATTATTTATTTATTATTTAATTAAAAATCACTTGAGCAGAGCAGGGATCGTACTCACGACACGTCCATAGTGTTTCTGGGCATTCAAGCGCTAGTTGCTAATATTGCCAAAAAACTGTTTTTGATCACTTATTAGTGCAATTTTTTGCCATTTTGAGGTGAAATTGATAGCACAGTTGAAGTAAACCGACTTGTAAATTCCTGCCTGAAACGGAAAAACATAGATTTATCTAGCCAAATATAACATAGATGTTTCTTCAGTATATGTATAGAAATAAGGAATCCCCAAAATTTGTCGTAGGGAGCAACTATTATTTGATACTATTGATATGAGTTTTAATCTTCAATTAGCCGAAACAATTTGGTCATAACTTTTAGGTTTCTTCGAGTTAAAATACCATTTTATGTTTTATTTTGATGACTTACAGTATTCCTATGTTCTGTGTTAATGATCAAATATATTTTTAAAACAAACTAAACTGTATTACATGTGGTTAAATTCACCACTATCGCACAAAAATACAAGTAAAACTCATATACGGTCAAATTTCCCCCAAATTGAGTGAAATTGACCAAAGGCACTATTTTTCAAGTAATAATTTTTTTTTTGTAATTTTCACCTAAAATCCCATACCTAATGAATGGTATACTTTCTTGCATATACAAAAATTTAGCAAAATTTGAAATAAAGATTTGTATAGGGTCAAAGTTTAAAATCGGTCAAAGACACCCCATTTTACGGTAATGCGTTTGCGGTTCTGGGGTGGATCCTCTTGGCAAGATTGGTATGCGATGCAAGAGTCCCACACTGCTCGACATATGCGTCCTTGCTCTTGCTGATGAGCGTCCATAAAGAAGAAAAAATATTAAATCAAGGGGATCAAATAAAATTGCTGCTGTATACACGAGAAAACTAAATGTATAAACCTACATAAATAAATAAGAACCTTAAACAATACCGGCCGTATCTCACATGTGACCAAAAATTGATTTCACCACTTATGGGTAAAAATACTCGGCAGGAACCCCAAAAGAATGCTCAAAGCGGGTCGCACTGCGTGTTTTAAAAATAGTGTAGAAAAGTAATTATCCACATTTTTAATTCAAGGCATATGTTATGTTTTTTGAAAAACAATCAATCTACATGTATACCTATATATGGCAAAGCCCTTGTCCGAGGAAGGGACGCCTCTATTATTAATGGCCGCAGCACTCTGCTGAGACGACTTGACACAGCTGAAGAAAACCCCGCATCTACCATTGTATGACGTATTGTCCAGTAAACAATGTAAGAATACAGCTTTTACCCAGACAACACACCAAATCCCAAAGATATCCACAGAATATCTTTTGTGGATATCCAATATATCCACAGGATATCAGAAATATTCCGTGGATCTAATATGGATATCCAAATGTCCGTCTATATCCAGAATATAGAAGATATCCTATGGATATTCAGCAAAATATCTAATTAGTATCTTCCAGACAATACAAGAAATCCCAGAGATATCCACAGAATATAATTTGTGGATATCCAATATCCAAATCCAACCAAATGTCCGTCGTATATCCCAGGATATAGAATTCAGATATTCAGCAAAATATTTTATAGGTATCTTTAGTAGACATTCATAAGTAACCAAATGAATGATAACGTCGAAAGAAAATAGAGATAAAAAATATTTCCAACAATCTGTCTTTGAGTTTGCCCACTAAGGAAAAAGTCATCCTTATTAGGACTCTTCAGCAATAAATGGAAATTCTCGACTCCAATCTCTAATAGAGTCTTAATGCGAAAAAAATGTTCGATCAACTCAATTATGGCGGGTTGAGCATGAGTAGATACGAAAGTGGTATCGCCATCTATACTTAGGAAGCAAAATCAAAAATTACATCTAGTAGTTATCCACGATGGTTTGCGTCCGCGCTAAGACTTTGATATATGTGGATGTCCATGGGATATTGAATACACCTTAAAAAAATTAATTTTAAATATCTGAACGGTACTATTAGCCACAATGGCGTAATTTTTTAATAATTTGCTATATAATTACTATTATTTATGGACATTTGCATGTCTATAAATTACATTTTATGGATATAAAATAGATATCCACCATGGACTGGACATTCAGTGGATATTGGGATGTTCAGTAGATATCCAAAGGATTTGGTGTGCTGTCTGGGTAGGTCCCCACATTCAAACAATATTTATTTTATCATAAAATTTAAGTAGTTGGTTGTTATATAACATACAGATATATACCTATTGATGCTGGCTTGAATATTGAATAACACTGTATATATGTGTCTCCCCGATGACATAGATAATTCTATGATTTAAAAAAATATAGATAGTAAAAGGGAATGAAATATGTAGGTGTATAAATACCTACTTATATTATGATAAGTGATTATAAATAATTCAACAGAAAACTTTGCAGTTTTGTGTCGAATGCTCCGGGACTGCCAATACAGATAGCATAGGTATAGGGCCTCGAATCTATATTATTTATACCTACCTAAACCTCTATTATAGAGCTTTAGGTACCTATAATAGGTACCTATATTCCGATTAGATCGTTAGTTTTTACATTTGTTAAAAATAAATAGGTATATTTTTTATAATATTTGATGAATACATTTTGGATTTATTGAGACAGTAAAAAACTAATACAAAAATGTATAATTTTCTAAGTACTTAAATAGGTACGGCGGCAAAGCATAGGTATATTATATTTGATGTAGGTATCAAAATCAAACACGCGACTGGAAAAAATCACGTGTCCCTATACCCATCTCGCAAATAATAATCAAGGCCACCGTAATTACTTCATATTTGGTATCAAATTAAGAAATGGAATGCAGGTAATGTAATAATTAATAAATTATTTCAATAACTTTGGGCTCCAACTACCTATTACATAAAGTAAATCAAGATCAAACATTAACATTCAAGTATAAACGATGGAAATATTTAGTGATTAGGTAAAAAGAGCAAATTTATTTTATTTTTAATGACGTTAAAAAAATTACGAGATTAAATTGACTGGAAAATCATGCATTACCAAATATTCAAATTTCCCGCAAAAATGGATGTTAAAAACCGGAAACAGACATCTGTCATGTGACACAAACCATATTTCATATTTCCCAAAATACAAGTCGCCATCGTATCTCCTTTTTACAATATCTTTCTAAATTATTAAATTGATTTTACATAACATACGTACCTCAAGATTATAATGATTTCCATATTTTTGTCATGTCATGCGCTTCGACTTAGTGTGACATCATCAAATTATCAACTCTATTCGCCAGCCATTGGTGGTAACTTGACCTTCAACTTAAATCTAACCAATGACGAGACTCGAAATTCTGCACTCCACCTGAAATTTTCTTATCGTCATATGACCCATTCTTGCTGGTGGCAGTCGCGTAAGCCATATTTGTCAGTGGGTTCGCTAGTTCCGTAGTGTGTTGTGCACTTTTAACATCGTTCTGGCCTGTAAATACTCTTAATAACATAAAAAATGGCAGATTCTGAAAAAAACCCCGTCTACGGACCCTTCTTTGGCGTCATGGGGGCCGCATCAGCTATAATTTTCAGTGGTAAGTGAAATTTTTGGTCATCTTTTAGCCGCTAGACTATTGATTTTATGCCATTAGAAGGTCTTATAGTCTTTTGATAAAGTTAATTGCTTCATTTTCATTGCGATTTTAAACTAAAGCTTGCCTCGCATAGAGAGCTAATCACTAAAATAGTTTATATATCAGCAATCTTTGTGTTCGAGGCAAAATTGAAACCATGGGCGTAGTAGACAAGTCATATGCCAAGTTTTGGGTTTTTCTAACTTATGACTACGCCGAATATACCCTAATACAAGCATTTTCATAGTTAGTTGCTTATAAAAAGGTTATATTTTACAATAAATACCGTTTATTCCACAGATTGTAAAAAATTGACCCACTTAACTAGTCACATGCCTTGTCAGACCCACCCGTCTACGAAACTTTCCAGTTGTTTTTAAGTTATTTTTTTACATTTTCAAATAAGCTTTAACACTTTAATGGTGGTTTATTTACATGTTCATTAAAAAAAGGCCTTAAGCATCGTTCCAAAGTCCAGTTTAATTTGTTTTGCGTTGTGATTGTGACAACTAATCATTATCTCGTAGCTACACCAAACTCTATATAAATGAAATTGTGCCTTTAAAATTGAAACTATAAAAAAACTTTTTTTTGTAAAATGTAAATAAAATAAATTGTGTTTAATTTCATGTCATTTTGAAACTAACTAAAGCGGGACTGCTTATAGGGAGAATATTATTATTATTATAGATAGTTTGAGGGAATAAAAAATGATTTAAAAACAAATTTGAGTCCTTACAGGTGGGTGTAACCCCAAAACATGTGACTGTCAAGGTTTCCTCATGGTAGGTATCACATGAAACCATAACTGAATGCTTGAGTACCTTTAATCAGCTGTCTTGCATATTAGTAACAATGTTAATTATGTTTTCTTAAATTTATTCATTTTAATTTGTTAATATGAGGTACTTAATACTACTTTTCTCTAATAATTTAAATATTAAAATAGATCTCTACTGAATAGTTTTTTTTTAAATGAAAATAAAAACATTGAACATTTTGGCTTTAGGCCAGTTATATTGTAAGCAACTTATTTTTTTTGTAATTAGTACAGTTTTACAAAAGCTAAGCTTTTTTTATTGTAGGTATATTTAATAAAAAAACATTTTTATTAGAATCTACTTGATACCACCAATAATTATTAATAAATGTTCCTCATGATATTAACTTTTAGCAAAATATAATGTAGTTAAACACACTTCATTCTCATAAATTTAATATGAAATTGTTATTAAATGAATACAATTTTGTTCTGCTTTGACATCATATGATCTTTCCTTATCTTAATATATAGGTATTTAATAACAGTTTTTATCTCATTTAGGAGTCATGTGATGGGAGTGGCTTCGTTTAAACATCAGTAGGCTTTTATAAAATGGGAGTTAATTTACCAAAATTTAACAGACCCATTTGTACTATAATAATTAGAACAAATATGTTGTTTGAAAATATTCATTTTTGTCTGATTTGATTTACCAAAATTGTAAATTTGTTGCTTTTTTTTTTAATATGTATGAACCTACAACCTGATAGGTTTTGACATTTGTTTCTTTTTGAGTCCCAAAATAGCTAATTCCCTTCTACCTACATAGTTATCGAAGATCTATTTGTTTCTTCTTAATACTTATAGATGCAATGAAATATCAATTTGTACTATGTTGTTACTCATAGATTGTCATTCATTTTATTTTAATGCAATCTTTAATGTGTACATCAATGAGATATATATTTCACTAATAAGTTCTTAAGGTAGACCTTGTTGGAATAGGTTCAGATTCCTGACTTTCTCATTGTGACCTCCATTAACTGAATGAATTCACCTGTTTAACTGGTCTTCTAATGAATTTATGGCCACTAGTCATAAAACGGTCTAGTCTACTGTCTCATTTTTTAGACAACTTTAATTAAATTTTGTAGGTACCTAATTGTTAAGCCTAATACTTATGGTACTTGATCATCAGTCAACATGTGATTAGCTAACATTCACGTGTTAAAATGTTTTCTGACTTTTGTTTAAATTGAAAGTGGAGTAGTAAATATAGGGATATTCTCTTGGTTATGATACAAAAATTGATAAATGATAAAAATGTAGTATGTACTACTTAGGTATTTCACAAAATATTCACTTTAAATGACAATCACTTCAAATGTTGATTCTATATTACCATATTATCTTTATATTTTTTCATAAATTGAAATAAAAAAGTAATTAGCAATTTGTCGTTATTATCTAAGCCAAAATGTGCAAAAACATTTTTTATTGAATCATGTAAGGTAAATAAAGGTACTAGGTATAATGGGGAAGCTTTATATTTTATTTTCTTCATTAATTAATTATTACAGTTTTTAATAAGATATATTTATATTGGGGTACCTAGTTCAAATCTTTAGAAACATAATAACATTTTTTATTACATTTACAAAAATTATAAATCAATTCTCAGTAGTAGACATGGAGAAGTACATATTGGTAGTTGAGATTAAAATAAAAAATCATTAAATATGTGATTAATAAAATTGTTTTGTAAAAAATATTTCTTCCAACGATATAAACATAAGAACATAAATAGAACACAAAAAAGTATAACACAATCTAAGTAGGTACCTACTAAAACACTAAATTAGCCATTGCTTCTGGAAAATGATATTTTAGCCTATCCAGAAACAGTTATTTTTGGTTGGGGGAGTTTGTCTTTATCATTTTGAAGAGATTTTTTCATCGCAATAGTTCATATATACCAACAGTTTCAGCTTAAGACCTTTGCTCTCTTTTTTGTCAGGAAATTTGACAAATATGCAATAAGGTACCTTCTTTGTTGATCTCTATCTTCCAAATCAAGTTCACTTTCAAATTCTTCCAAAGAGACATTCTTGAAACTGTCTCCAGATTCAATCCACTATTCACCATATGAAGAATAAGCACGTTCAGTTATATATTTTTAAGTAGTTCTTATCACTTTCTTCCTGCTTCTTTTAACTATTAGTTTTCCTTACTTTCCTTGTTTTTGTAATAGTTTTACCAGTCTTTTGATGTAGCAATCTTCCTTTTTTTATGCTTATTAATTTGGGCCCCGCCCACATAAGTACTCATGTGAAATGAGCAGAAGATACATCTGAGGAATGGAGCTACTCCATACTTGTTCCAGGTTCAACAAAGTTGATCATGAAATGCTCATCTTGAGATTTATGCTGTTTTGGTTTCTTTTAAAATTAAATCCTTGTTCCTCAAGATATCGTTGAGGTATCCTGGAATTTTCCTTTTGGACATTATAAAATAATGTTAACCTCAGTGTTGCTCTAGCTAGGTATTCCTTATAAGTGGTTGTGGAAACTGGTTGGCCTCCTAGAACTGCCTTGATGGCCTTTTCCATATCATCTTCAGTGTATCTGAACATTTGTCCCTTTATAGGAGGCATCTTGAAACTAAAATTTAGGTTTTAGTAGATGACATTTCCAAAATTGTAGTACTTGACATGGTATCATACACTAGATCTGACAGACGAATTACCATGTTATTGAAACTGGAGTAAAAAATAATTGTTGCCCTTTATAATATGTAGTAATAAGGTTTATAGGAGTATTTGAAAGCATATCCAAAATGGTAGTAGTTAACACTTGTGCCATCTACTAAAAAAAAAAAAAATTATTTGTGTTGGTGTTTGACACCATGTCTAAAACTAATTTTAAAGTTAGTATTAATTTGTTATAATATAAAAACACTAGTACTAAGTTCATACAGCAAAATTACAACTCTGAAGTCACAATTCAATACTTAATCAGCAACAATTTTTTTTAAATGACTTTCATATCACTTTCATTTAGAAAACACTGTCCCTATCTAAACACTTTTTTAAAATGGCTTTCTTATCAATTTTATTTAGAAAATACTTCTACATGAACACAATTACCCATGATTTGAAGGTAGATGTAGATCATGGCATCTTAAAAGTAATTAAAAATCATCTAGGTTTGTAATATAATCACTTTAAAGGGCAAAATGTAAACTACTAATGCACTTACTTTAATTATAATTCCATTTTGCATTTATAGTCAAAAATAAACTGTCTTCAAAAAATTATTCTTAGAAATATCTCAAAAATCTTTACAATTCCCCCTTTGGGGATTAATTATATGGGTATATTTTTCTTTTATCTATCTAATTGACGCATTTCCAGATTTTCTAATTTTCCTACAGTTATAACAAAATTCATACTTTTATTTTTGAAGTTAGAAAATTAACTTTCTGGAAATTCCATATAATTGTGCGAAAAAAAAATTGTTGTGTTTAATAATTATAAAGTACAGTTACTAAATTTAATGATAGGTCAGTTGTAATTATTTAGATTGTACTATAATGAGTTGTTAAAATTATTATTTGTGTTTAAATTTTTTTTTTATAATGGGTGTTGTACTTGCATTGCCTTAACCTTGGGGGAATACGTTTTGGGCTTGTCCCTAGAACTTCATTGACAAATAATAGATGGCATTTATACAGACCTAGCTAGACCTTTTGATGGTGTCTGGCATTGTTATTACGAAACCAATAACGTGCTTGTCAAGAATTGTTGTTACTTTTCAAAACATTGTTATTACTTGTAAGACCACAGTCAGCAAAAAGTATGCCCTCATTGGATACTGGTGTACCTCAAGAATACTTAATGTTTTCTTTGTTTATTATAGATATACTTTCTTTTTTTGCGTTATTGAGCATGTAATCGTTGTAACTAAAGGTTTTCTTTTGGGTTTTAAAAAAGAAATGCTGAGAGAAATAGGTACTATGCACATTAATGATACTAGAGTACTACATACACTAGCAATATTTTTATGGTATAATGTTAACATTACTAATTTAATACATATTTTTATAAAGCCTTAAAAATAATTGAAATACCTACCTACATTAGTTTCTTTATATAAAAAATCGTAATTGTTATGTTATTTATCTTGTTAGTAACATTTGCAGTATTTACAACAGCCTTTGGGCGACAAAAGAATTCCATGGTCATTTGTTATCAAACTATTTCGTATTTTTAACTTAAAAAGGAGGTTCTCAAGTCTGAATATTTTTTTATGTATGTTCAGTGATATTTCTTTACCACGTTGCCCGATTTTTAAGATTCTTTTTTGTTAGAAAGAGGGTGCCTGAGGGGTGGTCCCATATAATTTGGTCAAGATCTGATTATGAGATCCATGAGAAAATCATCAAACTCATTAATTTTTAACTTGTAAATTTTAACATTTCTAATAACTAACAAATAATCATTGCAAGAAGGGTTGGAATAAGTCACGAGTTTCATAAAAAAGTCAAAAAATCCGACTTTTTGAATCAATTTATGATTTTTTTGAATTAATTCAGACTCACTAAAACTAAATACAAAAAACACAAACAAAAGTTTTTTGTTTTCATTAAAGCTTAACATAAAATATGAAATTTTTGCAAAACAAACTGAAACATTCATTAAATACTAAATAGGTACATAAACTTATTAAGAATATGTATTAGAAAAGTTAGTTTTCTGGCTTTTTCCAATCCTAGTCAGCAGACGCGGCTCATTTCTAGAAGCACATGCTCCCCTAGAAAAATGTAAATAAGTTTTCAAACAATAAAACACAAGAATTTACTTTAAGGGACTTTATTGCTTATAAGTAAAGTCTATTCTTTTGTTTTTATTGGTTGAAAACTTATTTACAACATTTTTCTGGGGGTGCACGTGTGCATCTGCTCCTATGGACGAGCCGCGCCTGCTAGTCTGGTTGCGTCTGTCTTTCAGGAACATTGTCACAATCTTTGGCTAATTAATCATAGTTTGCAGTATTTTGCGACATGCTTTACATATTGCTTTTTTTTTTGGTTGGACAATAATTGTTTTTTCTACACCCATATGGATATTAGCTACAAAAAAGTAAGCCATTGCGTTTAACTGAACGAATATATTTCATATCCATTACACCTGTAAGAACACACTGCACGGATATGAAATCCACCGCATACAGATCGTATTTGGTTACCAGGCTATTATTTTTTTTAAACTTTAAATAACAATTCTGTCAAACTAATTGTCAATTTATTTTTCAGATATTAATATTAAATATAATTTAAAAATGAGCGATTCTTGTGAAGAATCAATAAATAATAGCATTTCACAAGATATTTGTCTATTATACAAAGAAATCATCTATTTACTTGCCATGCAAAAGGTCCTGGGTTCAAATCTAATATTGAAGACTAAATAAAATCTTTTTATTTTAAAAAAGTATTTTAAATTAGTTATTTTATCCCAATAACATAAAATAACACAGGCCTGCGTTTAAATACTTTGTAAAATGTGAATTGAACTTTTCAACTGAAATTGGGTATTTCAGTAACGCTGATTTCAAATCTGCTTTTAGTTTTTTTCTATTACGTAAGGTTTTTAAACAAAATACTACAAGAATGCAAAAAGTAAAAATATATTTATAGATACTTAGGATAAAAAAGAAAATAATAAACCAAGAGAACAAACAATAAAACCGGGGAAGTAGTTAAAAAATAACTATCATTAATCCTTTGTTTTCTTGAAAAATCTTTCTCTCTTTCCGGAAAAGCTTCTTTTTGTTGTTTTTCGTGCATATTCTGCGGTAGGACGGCCCCTTTTAAGCACCCAACAGTATCCCAGCGCCCTTGCTATCGCCGTTCCATCTCTTTTATGTCCTGGTGAATGCGCTTCCCTTGCTCTTCACTGACATCGCCAAGATTATCTGGAAAATAGTCAAGATGAGCATGTAGAAAATGAATTTTTAAGCTCATGTTACAGCCTAACTTTTTAAATTTGTCTAACATGTTTTCAACAATACTTTCAAATTCAGGGTCTTTGTAGTTTCCTAGAAACTTATTTATAACTTGTTTAAAAGCTGTCCATGCTTCTTTTTCGTCTTCCTGCATAACCATCTCAATTTCATTAGTTTTCATCAACCTTCTTATTTGTGGCCCAACAAAGATGCCTTCTTTTAATTTAGCTTCAGAGAGACCCGGAAATGTTTCACACAAGTACTTAAAGCAACCACAATTTTTGTCTAGAGCTTTGACAAATTGTTTCATCAGCCAATTTTATATGTAGAGGGGGTAATAAAATTTTCTCCGGATCAACTAGGCTTTCCCGAATTACGTTTTTGGAACCAGGCGTTAAATTTTTTCTTAGTGACCAGTTTTTTTTTGGTCCAGTGATCATCTCTTGCTCTACTGTCCCAATCACATAGGAAACATGGGTATTTCGTATATGTGGATTGTTGACCTAAAAGCAACTTTAAAATTTTAAGGTCACCACATAGAATCCAGTTATGTTGTTTGTAGTTTATTCTTAACAGCAATACCTCAAGATTTTCGTAATAAGATTTCTCTTTGAAGAGTCTATAAAAAGTCTCCACTTTGCAGGATTGTATTCAGGAGCACCTAGGTGAATAACCAAGTCTAGATACATTTTGACAATATACAAGTGAACCAGCTGCGGCAAAGTAATTGACAAATTCAGCTTCACATTTTCTATACCAATAAAATGTATTACCTGGAGCAAGTAATTTTTTTTCTTTAAACCTTGATCCTAAAACCTCAGAGAGGTCTTTTGGAAGTCCCAAATCCCTGACTAAGTTGTTCAGTTCTACATGAGAAAATAGCTGCGGTTCACGGATTCCTGAGGTAGATGGCTCAAAAATGTCAATTTCTGAATCTGTTGAAGATTCTGATTCGATAGACTGTAATACTTTAGGTGGAACATGTACAGGTCTATCAGCGTCATGTGGAACTGGTCTTATTGCAGACGAAAGATTAGGATAGTTAATATACTTTAGAGATTTTGTGTTATGACCTTTAATATCACACAGACAAAAAGAGCAGTCGTTAATGTGATTTTTAGGTTCTCTCCAGACCATTGGTATTCCAAACGGTAGGGCCTTTCTTGTTCTTTTAAATCAATGCCTCAAGGCTTCTTCGCAAATCATGCAGATAACATGTGGCGCCCAAGGCTTATCTTGATCTCCAAGTCTGAATTTAAAATATGCAAAATATGCATTTTTTACGAAATCAGTAATGTTTCTTTTAAACTTCTTCACTAAAAAGTGTCCACAAATATAACAAAAGTCATCAGGCCTATTTTTACAACACCTACTAGACAATTTTTTAATAGAAAGTGCACAACGAAACACCGATAGAATTCGATAGACAACGCCTGTCTCAATACCACGGGGATACTAAATATAAATATATCGCCCTCTTTCCTGAATAAATCGAGTATCGGGGAATCCTCAACAATATTCTAGTAAGTACCGGTAAATCCCCCTACAAATGCGCAAATTAAAACGAGCTTTTAACGCGTCTCAACGTTTTGAACAAAAATAAGGAATTCAAATTGGTTTGTGATGTTCAGGGATAATACCCTTGATACTAGTTTACAAAAAATTTACGTGATAGAATAAAAAGGGGGTTATTTTAGCTATATAGAAGTTGTAAATAGGTGAAAAAAAAAAAAAATAAAATGGCTAGATCACAAAATGTTCGCGGGCTTGTGTAATTTTTAAAATTGTAGATTTTGTAGAAATAATATACTGTACATTGTACAACTTTAGTGGATTGTCCGTATCGCACTCAGACGATTAATAAAATAACCATAATTTATTTAAATAAGAAGTGTGAAAGTTTGAAGCTCTATCAGTCCCCAAAATAGACACCCATACTCACATCTAAATGCTGATGTCGGTGCCCTAGGCCCTAGAAGATATCCTCTCATTGATTTCGGTCTTTCGGTTATTTCCCGCGATATTTTGTATTGTGGTCACTACATGGTTGTCAGATTTTTATTGTTTCTCGGTTGTAGAGTTGATAATAAATTTGTTCCTATTTGGAAAAGTTTGAGATAAAAGCATTTTGAATTAATTCTTGCCAACCCTGATTGCAAGTCACTATCGAAAGTGTTTTTGGAATCGATATTTTACGCCTGTTTGATCATTACATTTTTAATTTCGATGTTTTGAATGAAATAATATCTTAATGGAATTTTTGATGTAACCTTGTAATTTCATGTAGAAAGTACCGATACGGTTTTGTGTACTTAGTTTTGAATAATCTCTTGTGGGTTTTTCTATTTTTAGTATTCATATAAATGATATAAATCATATTCTAGATTACATATTCACAAATCAACCAGTATATTAATAAAGGATGGGCGTTGACTATTTTTAAAGGCAAATTTTCTGCATATCTCCGTATCTGTGGGTTACGCCACATAACTTTTAGGCCTCCAGGGGATAAAGGACCTGCCTCTCAACTCGTTAAAAACTTGCTGGTTGTCGCTGAGAAGTGTCGAGAGACAGCTAGCCTCTCAGCTTCTCTCAAAGTTGTCCTGCGGGTTAATAACATCGTCAAGAATTGCCTATAATTTTTGTAAACAGCCATTTGGTGAGTTTCTACTACCCCGATGGTAAATGCCCGGGGTGGAGCTATTCTGTCCGCCTGAGCCCGCTGAATAGGGCGAAACTACATAATATATTTTTTAATTTGTCGGTTTACTACGCCACTGTTTGTGTTTCCAGTCTGGCAAGTCGCAGTTTAAAATAATCTTCCGTTTTTTAACTTTCTAGATAACGTTCGATATCGGTAAAACGTTTGCAATACAAATGGTAGAATTGCATCGAAAACATATTGGTATTTTTTCTTTTTTTTTTTATTGATTTTAGAATCGTATCTGAGAAACGCGTTCACGCAACAAATATTATTTATACCTACATTTAGCTCACAATTTAAAGCATTATAACATTTTACAAAAATAGATACCAGCGTACATCTGGTTGAAGGACGGGTACTTTGGATCAGAACCCTAAAATGAAAATTTGCTTTGTTTATACCTACTTATAATAAAAAAAATTAAAATTCTATTTATTTTGTATTTCACATTGTTGCTTATACAGTAGACTAGTAGATAATAAAAACATAGTTTGGGGAACGCTGAAACAACTGTTAAAAATCCGTGTCCTTGGCTGAATAGTTTGTTGGACAGTGGCCAAATGTCTATCAAACATGTCTAGTCTAAAGCTGTTGGATTTTTTTTTACTTTACCTATACAGAACCGGTTTTAAAATTTTTGATATTGTAGTGCAAAGTTCTTGACATTTTTATTGGAAAGGGCAACAAATCATGATCCATCATCTTCTGCCAATAATCGTCATGATTCTATTCTCATTAATAGCAACAATAATTTTTCTTTAGGGTAATTTCATATCAAATTAACCAAAATAAAAAAAAGGTATGGCAGTCCATCCCACGGATTTTGATAAAATTTGGTACACTGATTATCTACATGGGTGGGATGAAAAATCCAAAATATTTTTTTTTTGATCAGTGGGTAGTTTTTTTAATTTATTTTCAAAAATCGCAAAATTGGCCAATTTTGGTACAACACAATTTCACAAAAATTAGAATATCTTGAAAACTACTTATCGTAGATCATTAAGATATAACTCGTAAAGAATTTTTTTTTAATTTTGAAAAAAAAAAACATTGATTTTTTGAAAAGTCAATTTTGATTGGCAAAACATGTGCCAGATTTCAAAATGGAGAAATCATGGGTTCAGTATGAACAAGAAAACGTGAAAATCTAATTTTTGGCCTTATTTTTGTAATTTTCTTAAGACTCACTAAATTTTACAAGAAATATACTTATATTATTCTGAAAAAATATTTACAAATAGTTTTTGGTTTTAATTTTTCTTTCCAAAATGTTCGGAGATTCAATCATTTTTTCCCTAGTTAAAGTATATGAAGGGTACAGGGGAAAAAAGATGAATGTCACAAAAATGAGTTTCTGAGAAAGTAGGATTTTAAAATTTGAAGACAATACTTGTCTGAAATATATTTGGCTCAAATATTTTTTTTTCTCAATACCTGGTAGTATAGATTACTTTGTTACCAATTATTGCGTGCACAGGTTTATTTTTGTAGCTGGAAAAAAATATTTGGAGTTAGACGACATAGGTTCGAGTGGGGAAATGGAGTAATTTATCATAAACTATGTGCCAGTAATTGCATTATTTATTGAAACGAAAGAGCATACAACTTTAATTTTGGTTTTATAAAAGTAGTACCAACGAAAATAGTAAAAAAATTCTCATACAAAAAATATAGATGTAGTAGTAAAAACAAATCAACAAATAATCTAAATAAGTACCTTTTTATTAAAACTAAGGCACATAATGGTAAATTTCGGTACCTAGAACATATTAAAATATTAGGTAATGTTATAATATTATAAAAAAAACATACAGCGAACGTCAAAAAGTTGACTTAGTATTGTAAATTATAACCTTTAACATAAATTAAACGTCTTCATCTTCGGTAGTGTGGTTATAAGGTATGTTTTCAAAGTACTTTCATGCATTGGGCTCATAAAATCTTTTAAGTTCTTGTAGGTCTTGAAACTTTTTCAAAGATATAGGGAGTTTCTCATTGTATTTTGAAGAAGGTATTTCAAATTGTCCAGGAGGTAACAAATCAATATTTTTTTGACTTTCTTCTAGGCGGTATCACTACAGAAGTCGTGCAAGCTCCGTTATAATGATTCACGATATTCTATCATTCTCGGCATACCAGTATGTACTGTAAGTTCCTTGATTGGTCTGCTTTCAAATGGACACTATTTATAGAAGTAATTTGCAAAGTGATTCGTCCATGAACGAAAAATATTTTGATCTTCACAGTCAATTACACAAAAAGGACCAGGTTTACTTCTAGCACTCAGAATTTGCTCATTCTATCAACCCGGAAGTTCTATTGCTGTTTTTTGGTTTATTAGACCCATGTTGCGTTCGCATTCTAGATAGCTGTGTCCCCGAACTGGAAACGTCATCTTGATTTTCCTTAAGCGTTTTGTCTTATGGACAACGAAATGCAGTAAACGAAATAATAATAATAATACTCTCTCTAATTCACCCCCTTACGAGTGAATTTTTAACCCCAAAAGCTGAGTTTGTGCGGGGAAAGGGACGGCTATTATTATTATTATTTGCCGTGGCGCTCCGGGGCGACTTAAAGATGATTGATGGTGCCATTTGACTTACAGGTGAGGAAAACCTTACCCAACATCATCGAGACGGTAATGCATGGCGATTTTATAATCTGCATGTCATATCAACAGAAATTAAATTTCTATTAATACGGCACACATCAAATCCTATACCGAATCATGCAATTTAATTAAAAATCCACATGGTCTGGTCTGGGATTCGAAGCCCGACAGTCTCGGACCATAAACTTGCCTATAAATGAATATAAGCGCGTTAGACTGCTACACCACCGACCCGAAATAAGGTATAATTCTTATTTTGGCCGCTACACGAATCACAGAAAATTTCTAACTCTTGGACACGCTTATCCACGAAATTGCAAATAAAATGAAATAGCATAGATGCCACTTCATCTGAGCCCTTCTTTCCAGCAGTTTCCGTGTAAGTATAAAAATATAAAGCAGAGTTAGACAGCACATGGATGGATATTAAAGGAATAAAAAGAAAGTTGGCGTACTTTTTTGAGAATTTAAACGAGCTGCTCTCTTTCTTTTGTAAAACGTTTCAGCTTTTAGAAGATGCAGTTTATGTTCCGTTTCCAAACGAGATAAAAGCGCTTTTTGTGAAGGATCGTTTTTGATGCTTATTTTCTTGGCCTTGTGCTCATCACAGGCACTGCAGGTATCCGTTCGTGGATAGCCAAAACTTATGTTGAATTTAGTTACAAATATAGTTCTGTAAGTCTCGTAAGAAACCTTTTTCTCAGGATTTTGTTGCAAAAACATGTTGAACATCGTTTTCACGTTAAGATCTTCCGGTAAATATACACGTTGGGAGTCATGGAGACTATAATGTGATTTTTGGCCTTTAAACGAAGCAATATGGTCAAAAAAACGGCAGTGGATATTTCATCTGGGAGTCATCTGGTAGACGATTTTTTCGATTGGAATGTTGACCTCGCCCATCGTGTTTAACATGACCAAAAGTGGTTAACTGCTGCTGGATATTCTGAAGCCGTTTCGCAGATATTTCATGCATAGAAAGCATAGCTTTATAACACTTCTATAGCTGTATTATCTCGTTGAACACGAATTTTGTATGTGAACGAATATGAGTGATATTCAACATCATGTGAAATTAAGCCACCCAGTTACAAATTTTGTTCATCATGATCTTAAAGTTCATTAAACTGTTTATTTGCAACCTCTCTCCTTCGGTGACATTTTCAAAACACTTAAATCTAGTACAATTACACATTACAAAAAACATAAATATAAAATAGGTCATGTGACACATCGTTGGAAAGGTATTTGAATTACCTTTACAACGAGCTATATCTCATCGATCTACGATTAGTGGTCCTCAAGATATTCTAATTTTTGTGAAGCTGTGTTGGATCAAAATTGGTAATTTTTTTTATTTTTGAAAATTAATAAAAAAAAATTACTGATCAGAAAAAAAGTATTTTGGATTTTTCATCATACCCATATAGAAAATCAGTGTACCAAATTTTATAAAAATCGGTGACATGGTCTGCCAAACCTCTGGTTGATTTGATATGAAACGACCGACCCTTTAACAACCAGTAATCGCAATGATGTAACCGGAGCAATTACCATTTCAAATTCTAATTTTACTATTAATTACATCAATAAATAACATTTAACAAATTCCTGCATAAATTAGCTTAATAGGGCTTAAATACCCTTCATTTGAAAGGTATTTTAATCATGAACAATCTTGTCAATTCTATTTTCAACAACTTCAAAGATAATTTCTAAAAATCCCCTTTTCGTTTTCGGTGGGTCACCCTGTATACAGTTGTAAATAAAGTATAGTATTCAATTCGTGTATAATGGACCATATTACACTCGAATATTTACAACACTTGTGTAGTATGATCTATACATTTGTTAAATAATATACTATTAATTTTTGTACACGTTGTTGTCGTAAAACAATGGGTACAATTTTGTTATAGCTTTGTAACTGAAATATTTTTAACGACATTTGCGCGAAAATATTTTCGGCGATATCCGAATCCATTGGTGTAATCATTTTTTTTTTATAATTTGAGTTTGCCATAAATAAAAAAAAATAGGCTGTCATTTTATCTCCTTTCATAGTCAGTTACTAATTTTTTAATAAATAAATTTTGATGATATTGCTGTAAGAACGTGACAAACATTTTTGTTTTATTAATGGTTCAATTAAATCGTTTCTAGCGTACACCTAATGTGCCACAACTGGTTAGCTCAATTGGCTTCATTTAATTTATAGATTTATTTTCTAACTTATCAATTGTTTACGGCTGAGTTTTATTTTTAGAATTTATACGCTTAGAAATGAAAATGAGTACGTAAATTTTTTCTACTCGCTCATAGGTAAATTAATAATGTATATCGTAACTCATATTTTGGCGTAACTGAAAGTAATTATTTTTTTTAGAGATTAATTTTAAAAATGTAAATCTTTATTAACCATTTGACATCTTTTTGACTTCCCTTTTTCTATTACATAAAAAACTACTTTACAAAATTAACAATTTCAGAAAAAACAAGTTTTTAGTGTTTCCTGGAAACCTGGTAATTTGATGATACGAGGTTTTGACTACGTTGACGATATATAACTGTTGACGCATGAGTTATTAATTTAATTGATAACTGTTATCAGGGAAACTCTAAAATGATTAATAATAATAATAATAATAATAATAATAATAAAAAAACATTTTTATATTTCAATTTAACAAACAAAAAAACAATAATTATAACAAGTATTAAAAGTAATTTTAAAAAACCGACTTCAAAATCGTGTAGCCATCACCATATCTTGACCAAATTTATATGGGACCACCCTTGAGGTAACCCTTTGTAAGGGGCGTTGGTGAAGTTGTAATGGACAATTAAAAGGAGTCTAATATAATAATTTTATATATGACATCAAAATTAGTCATTCATTTTCCACCAACATAATAACAACATCAGAACCATAACACACTAATAATTAAACATCAGCTCCTACAATACTCCCCCTCCTTTAGTAAAATAACCATGAGTATATATCTACATTATATATTAATTCAATATAAATGATACCTTTTTTTTAGTGCCTCTATGGTCTAGAATTTTTTTACGTGAATTGTATAAGCTGGTTTGGTTCTATCTATACATAGTGCAACTTCAACGCCATTCTTATCAATGTAAATAGTTTTCTCTGTGCGTTTTATTACTCTGAACGGGCCTTCATATGGTTGCACTCTTTTTGAGACCTTCAACTTTACAAAAACAAAATCACAAGTTTATAGGTCTTTTGCCACAAAAGGTTTAAAATTATTTTGAATTCTAGTTTGACAAGGTTGGAAATTATTAAAGGTTTGCCTTAATTTAACAATAATTTCATTACCTTCCGCCGAATCACTATGAGACTTAACTAACATTTCTCCAGGTATTCGAAGCGTTTGACCGTAAACCATCTCAGCTGAAGAACATTAAGAATTTCCTTAAGACTAATAAAAGTATAGGAAATTCATCCACCCACTGAATGGTATTTTGTCTTGCCATTGAAGCAACTTTAAGTTGCCTGTGGAATCTCTCCACGATGCCATTACTCTGGATGCTAAGAGTTTTTATGGATTTTGAAAGTACCAAGGAAATTTGTAAGTTCGGCAAAAAAAATTTGATGTGAATTGGGTACCTTGGTCCGTAGTAATACGTAAAGGTAGGTACACCAAAACGAGGAATATAATTAGCCACAAAAGTTTTTGCAATCTCACTGGTGGTAATGGTTTTTAGAGGGTACGCTTCTGACCAGCGAGTTACACGATATACATTAGTAAGGAGATACTTGTAATTCCTACACGGAGAAAAAGGACCTACTATATTGTGGATGTGTTCGAATCTGCCCTTAGGAATATCAAATTTTCCGAATTCAGATTTGGTATGTTTCGTTACCTTTGCTCTTTGACAGTTTATACAATGTTTGGACCATTGATTTATGTTTTTGGACATGCGAGGCCAAAAATATTTTGATTTAATTAATTTTTTAGTTGCTCTTGTGCCAGTATGTGATATGTATTGACGAAAAAATTAATTTACGCAACTGAGTTGAAATATATGGTCTGTGAACGTCTTTGGAGATATTGAAAATGTTTGACAGCAAGATATGCAGCCAAAAGTTCTCTATCGGATGTGGATAATTTTTTTTGAAAAGAAAGCAATGGGTGTACATTAGTCTTTAGAATATTGTTCAAGCGCTGCTCGTTTTAATTGTCCATTACAAATTCACCAACGACCCCTTATAACTGGTGACCCCGTCGTGATCATTTTTGGTTATAAAAATAGAGTATACCTCTTGTCGCATTTTAACAAATTCTGGGAGCAAAATCAGCAGAGACAACAACCAAACGATAGCAGCTACCACACACACTACCCCACTCTATCAAATTTCAAAGGCAATATAAGTTCAGAGAGTTGCCAAGCATTAGTAGATCTGAAGTTTACATTTTGTCATCGGGAACTTTTGTGTTTAGTTTGTAAATTAAACCTCTCCTTTGTAAAAAGAGTGAACCTAATGTCCCTGCGAATAAAGGACGTTTCAAAAAATCTTAGCACCGGGAGTAGAGGGGTCGCGCAGGTTATATATTTTTTACTTTTTAATAATTATTGAACAATAATGTCTTAATTAGGTAGTCTTATCATAAATGAATGACTAAATAAACAACTAAAAAACAATTAAAAACTAAAAATTGATTCACCTCAACTATTAACTTTAAAACCGCAGAATAACCAAGATATTTTTAATGAATTTTATTTTTTGCACTAGTGTCACACTCAGCACTATATTCGAACTGTCATACTTGTCAAATGTACATGCTACACTCAAGTATGTGTCAAATATTTGAAGCTACACTGAACAAATAAAATCCACTATTAGATATTGTAATCAGCGATGGTTTTAGCCGCAAAAATTTGGTTTGAATTGTTTGGAAATTTGATCATTCATAAGGAAAATTTTGGACAGCTGCACATATGTATAATTAGGCATTCCAACGACCTGTCAAACAATTCGCATTCAAATTAATTTTCGCGCGACTGTCATTTGTTATCTATAAATAGGATATTTGTTTATATGTGTAAGTTTTGAGCGCGCTTTCGTATTTGTGATTTTTTAACTGTTTTTAGATTTATTATATTATTATAATGAATTCAACAAGATTTAAATACTTCATATCTGTGGATATTTGCCAAAAACTGATATGTAATTTTTTGTCAATTTTAGAATTTTATCGCCTTGATATGTCGTGTAGATTAAAGTTTTATTTCCCAAAACATGATATCTCAATATCCGACACTGCGCCTGTGCCATGTAGATTCCTTTACTTATATGTTCCTGAACGCCGATTCAGTTTTGGCCAAAACCTCTTATGTCTGACATCATGTACTGTTCGTTTCTTAAAAGGTAAACATTAGACATGTCAAGTTTTGACCCTTATTAAAGGTTATGTTTTTTATAAAGCCGTTATTAACACTTATGAAGTTTTAAAACAAATATTACCTTATTTTTGTTAAAGAAAATATAAAGGTAAGTTAATATATCATTTTCTTCTATCAGTAAGAAACTACTGAGGTAATATGAACTTTTTTATTTGTTGCTTTAGGTGCTAAATTAAAGCACCAGTATGTCACGAGGCAAACAAATGGCAAAGAGGACAAAAGAGCTACTTAAATAAACTAATCTCATTGAAGTTTCAAAAGTTATTGTTGAAACAATTCCCAGTCTAGTCATTCAAACTCTAATATCTGTAATTTTTTTAATAGTACATGATTAACATTTCTCTCTAGACTACATATTTTTACATAATAATTAACTATAATTCAAATTAAAGTTATTATATAACAAAAGTATTTATGTAAAAGTCAATTTGTCAATGGGCACAACAATTTTAAAGTAGTTTCTTTAAAATTTAAAAAAATGACGTATCAGCTTTTGGCAAATAATCACAGATATAAACAACTTGCCTTCAAAAATTTTCTATGACTTGCAACGAACATACCCGCATTGGGTTAGAAGACTGTTTTCCGATTTTTAGAATAGAAATCCATCGATTTCGCATGTCGACTCTCTCATAATTGCCCATTTCATTTTTAACAAGTACTTTATGATTATCCTTTCTTACAAAATGAACGCTTATCAACAAGAACATTTCCAATTGATAAAAATTACGATCGGTTGAAAACATACCAAGGCCAGTGTTGCCAACTAATAAACTGATTTTAAAACAAAATTTATAAATGAACCGAAATTTAAAAAAAAAATCAATATAATTAAATCGCTTTTATAAAATTCCTTGTTTGGAATGCCCTAATGATGAAGTCCGATCGGAAAAACAGCACTTGGACTGTGTTTCTGTTTTTGAGAGCACACGGGCCGCGCTGGTGCTGCTGCAAATCTTGAAAAATAGTGGTACTTATTTAAATATAGTTTTTAAAAGGACATTTTAAGGTTTCAAAAGTCACAAGGTGAATTTGTTTAAAAAAAGGACAGGTGGCAACCCTAGTTCGAGCGTCCCTTAAGAAGAGTACCTAAAAAGAGTACCTTCTTAAGTTGCTCTATATTACATTTCGAAATTTATTGCAAAAAACTTGCCAACTTAAGTCCCTAAAAAGGTAGATACACCGACTTGATTAAGGTAACAGGTTCGCCAATATACCAAGCAAATTAAGGAAACATATTTAATAATTAAATAAAACATACAGTCACTGCAACCTAATTTGTCTATGCTGGGGTAAAATTTGCGCACTCTTAAGGTAAATATTGCCATTCTAAATCTGTTTTCATCAGTCTCGTCTTTCGAAATGTGTTTCATATAATTACATGTGTTCTTGAATATCAGGGAGTACAAATTTTGAAGGAAGAATTTAGATAAAGAGGAAAAACCGGTTTTCTATTCCCTCGAATTCAAGAATAGCTATCCAGACGTGAAGAGACCGTTTCGGTCTCCCTTGCTGTCGTCTTACGCTTGAAGTCGGTCTCGGGTCGCGCCTTGGCAATTGAATGTCGATTACAGCGTATCCCCACTTCAGACTCCCCACTGCAGCGACTACATAATTATTCCTTTATATTCCAGTTACCAAAACACAAAACTTGTCAAATGGCAGAAATGTAGACTAGGAATGTTTAAACCGATATTTTCTAAAATTGCAAAAATAATTGCAACAGCTGATCGCAGCAAGGAAAATTGAGAATTGACTCTAAGAAAATCTGTATTATAATTTTTTTACTTGATTAATTTATCAAAAGACTTGAGTACTATTCTGTTATTCCATAAAGTAACTACTGTCTACTGTGGAAGCATTTCAATATTTTTAATTTTTCCTTTAATTTATTTTTAATTATATTTCTTTTTTTTTTATAGCGCTGGGCGCAGCTTATGGTACCGCAAAATCTGGAACCGGAATCGCCGCCATGTCCGTGATGAGGCCGGAACTTATCATGAAATGTATTATTCCAGTTGTCATGGCTGGTATTATCGCCATTTACGGTCTGGTCATAGCTGTACTGATCGCTGGTACTCTTAGTGACAACACTTCATATTCCTTATTCTCGTAAGTATTTCATTCGTTCAATATATTAAAATTAATTAGTGCAATGCATACCGTCTTTTTACTTTTTTAAAATCAGTATTCGAAATAGTCACATATCCATAGTTTTGTTTTGGTTCACGTTCTAGAACTGTTCCAGTTTAATTCTGTAACCATTCTATTTTTACTCGAAACCAAAACACTAAAGTAAATTATAAATAAAAAAAAAGAAGAAATAACACAAGTCAGTGTCTAAGTAAGAAAGGGGCCATATAATAATGTAAAAATTAAATAATTTATTCCTAAAAAACTTAATATCAACTATTCAACTGTTACATTCTCATTAGCAATTCAAAAATTCCTTGTAAAAATGTCAACACAAAATGTGGCCAGAATCAAAACAAAACTACTTGCAAAAAAGTGCTTTGGGCCAGAAACAAAGTTACTGTTCGAGAATGGTTATCAAACCATTTTCAAGAAAAATCTAAACACTTAAATTACAGGTTCGGAACTAGTTACAGCGAATATGTATTGCGCATGCTCCAAAGGTACTGAAAGAGTTCTGGAACAGTTACGAAAGAACCAAAACAAAGCTTATGATACTCCCGGTACACTAATAACATAAAATATCCACCAATTAGTTATTGGGTAGTAGTACTGTGAATATAATGTATGCAATTGCTTTTATTTAAAATTAGTAATAAATGCTTATTTTCCAATGAATAACATTTTTGCTAGAATTTGGAAATATGAATCATTTGATAAATCTTCTGAAAACATCAAGCAAGGACCAGACATGTTATTTATTAAAAAATAATTAATATTTGTTACCCATTTTATAGTAAAAGCAATTATTTATTATTCAAACTCTAGTAGTGCCTCGCATGCAATACACACTATCTCATTTAATGAAGTACGGAAACTATAAATTCAGTAATCCTGAAGAAATTGCAAACACCTTCGCATCTTATTTCCAAATGTGCTATTCTAAAGACGACTTAAACCGAAAAATTGATCTTCCGGCTGTGTCATTTTATTCCACTTTAGCCATACACACTTTTACTTCTTGTGAAGTATCTTCTAAAATAAAATGTCTTGACGCTAGCAAAATTGCGGGCCCTGATGGGATACCATCGTAGTTCTTGAAGGACTGCTGTGACTCCTTGTCAATCCCACTTAACCAAATTTTCCAAAAATAATTTGATAGTGAAATATTTCCATCTGCTTGGAAGTTTTCCTACCTTATGCCAGTTTACAAGAAAGGGGATAAAAGCGATATAAAGAATTATAGAGGTATTTCCATTATATCGATAATTCCAAAACTTTGAATCCATACTAGCAATTAAAATGTTTTACACGTATAAAAACTATATATCAGCTCATCAACATCGCTTCTATCAAGGTCGCTCGACATCACCTAATCTGGCAATCTATCAATGCTTCTTAATTTTATCAATTGAAAATGGTTACCAGGTTGACACCATCTTCACCGATCTGTCAAAAGCATTTGACAGTGTCTGTCATTAATTGCTACTCAAAAAACTCCGAAATCGGTATCTCTGGTTCTTATTTTTACTGGATTAAATCTTTTTAGAGTAATCGGTGTCAACGTGTCATAGTGCATAATTCCGTATCATGTGACGTTCAGTCCTAACCGGTGTTCCTCAAGGTTCACATATAGGTCCCCTATTGTATTCCTTATTCTTTAATGATGTTACGTCCTGTTTTCTTAATAGCCAATGCCTTCTTTTCGCGGATAATTTAAAGTTTTTTAGTAGAAACACTGGTAATGACTCCGCATTACAGTCTGATCTAAACAGGTTTGCTACCTGGTGTAAAAATAAACGTTCTTTCTATAAATATTTCTAAGTGCACAACCATGCATTTTACAAGATCCCACAATCCTACTCTTAACTGTTACAGTATTGACAGCGTCAACCTAGATAGATCCTCAACAGTTATTGATCTGGGCATTATTTTTGATATCACAATATCTTTTAACAACCTTATAGATTCCATAGTATGCAAAGCCCTCAGAATGCTTGGCTTCATCAAGAGACATACTAGGTACGTGAATGACACAAAAGCAATCACACTTTACAATGGCCTGGTGAGAAGTGTCCTGGAATACTGTTCTGTTATTTGGCAATCTAGTTAGACCTGTCATATCAATAGAATTGAAAGGGTACTTCTATTCCTGACTAAATTAATAGGTGGTTCCATCAAGTGCGGGTCACTGCTTGAGAGAGTTCAACTATTGGTTCTTGCACACATCACTGGACAAAGTGCATTTATTTATTCTTACAGGCTTCTATGTCCTGTTTTTTTTTTACTTCACGAGCTTCTAGCTTAGCTTTTATATGCTCATTGTATTTTTTTATTTAAATCTTTGTTTAATGTTTGTTCATCTTTTTTTGTATTATATTCTGTGCACACGTTGCATAAATCCTTTTTCGAGCATGGAATCCTAGATTAAATTCAAAGTTAAAAAAATGGTAGTCAAGGCAATTCTGTGGAGCAAATTTTTTTCTTCGCACCACTTTACATAAAGCTCATATATTTTTGACAAGGATAGTGTCCTTTCTAAGTATTCTTTGGAGGAGTTACTTCTACAGTAGTGTGAAGGTATAGGAGGGAACATATTTATGTGATCTCTGATTAATTGTCTATGCTCCTCACCAATTCTATTTTCTGTGCGGCATCCTCTTTGGTACTGACTGGGAGTACTTGTGATTCCTGTTCGCTTTTTGCAATTCTGATCTGACATATCTACGACTTCCAAGTAAAATTTCTTGCAGGCGCGAATTTTCTGTTCGTTCTTGGTGAAAAATACTTGTAAGAAAAACTCTTGGTTCTCTGGCGTTCCACCCGGTATCTTTCTGTTGTTTTCTCGTAAAAATGTCCTTTCGCGTCATCAGTATTTGTCCAAAAGTGGAAATTAGCGCTGCTTCTTATTCACTGAAATGCGACAGTTTACACAGTTTCTTGTGAAAGCCCTAACGGCCTGGCCTCGGCAACTTTTGTATTCTTTTCCTCTTTGTCGTAACCCTTTTTCTTAAATTTTTATTCCAATCTTTCTGGTTAGCTCTTCGTTTTCTAGTGGATTTTGTTCTAAAAAATAAAAATCGCAATCAAAATTAATAGTTTTAAAATACCTTTGAACATCATCGTCGTCTAATTCGACCGATGTACCGTCTGTTTTACTTGGACTATCTAAATTCCTAGCACTTGATGTCACAGGAATTTCGTTTTGCCTCTTATCAAAGTGATATTTTTTCTGACTTGAACCTTTGCTACGTATTAAAGTATCAGAATCACAAGAATTCTCATCGGTATCAACACTAGAACCTTCATTTACATGGATACTGAAAAAATTATAAAATTTCATTCTAACCTATAATATTTTAGAAATTAATAACTTACATTTTACGTTTATTATTCGTTGTAGTTGGTTCATACTCCGACCCTGAGTCCTGGTAAGGTTCCGAAAGGTTTTTGTCCGAATCGCTCATTATTTTAAACTTATTTTCGTTGTTCAAAATGTTCTGACTGAAATATTTATGCCAAATTATTCCATGTCCTTGCATGGTGCACATGGCTAAATCCTATTGGCTGGTAAGGACATTTTTGAATTTAAGAAAAAAGTTATTTGATTTTTTTTGTGAATTTCTATACTAAAATTATGAAACAACCTGTATGCTTATGATTCAAATTTAGATAGTTTCCTTGGACATAAATTGACAAATATTTATGATCTAATATTAGACGGCGACGACCACCAGAATAATATGTTAGTAATTGTTACAAAACGAGTAGAGTAGGTATCAATCAATATATTTTTATTTGTTTTCCGTTCAATACAAGCGCACTGGGCACTAATCATATAACATTTATTTTGTGGCGACATTATTTTATATATAGGCATTTCACATATCTTTTATCGTTTTCTTGTTATAAAACTGGAAATTGTATTACTCATTTCAATTAAAAAAACCGTAAATCTTTTGGCTATACCTAATAAAATACAACGATTTTATGTGTAAAACATTTGAGTTTTGACTTTAATTTTGTATCTAATGAAACAGTATCTAAAAATCATTGATTTGTAAATATATTTTGTCTCATTTACAAGAGTTGATCCATATTATCTGCCGCTATCCTATTTATAATAAAAAAAATATTTCAACATTTACTTTATTTTCAAAATAATCTACCTTAATCCTAATGCTCCAAAATTTCAAAAGCTTCGTGGAATAAATTTTCTTCAAGCTCTTTAAACCATTTTAACCCGATGGAATATAATCGTTTAGTAAACCTTTTATGATCTGCAAACAATAGTTAAACAGTGTACAGTCTGTTCGCTAAACTTACGCGGGTTTCGGATTAAAAATTTTATGAGTATTTCTAGGTAAGTACCCGAAAGTTTGACCTGTTCTTTGGAGAAATATCAACTGGTTAAATGAAATGAAAAATAATGTACAACTTTTTAATTAAATAATAATGAAGAATCTTTTGTATAATTGAGAGCAGAATTAAACTTCTTCATTAATGGAGTCTAATGTGGCTATTATAAACCAAAGAATCAATTCAACTGCAATATTTGTAACAAATTTAGTACCTACCCTAATGCTATTTTAATTTAAATCTGACCATTAGGGTAATTTTACCTAATTTCTTGGGAAGCGACTTATTGGAACTGGTTGTCAATGACTAATTTGCATAATTTTGTTAATCCGAACAGACTGTATACAGCGTCTGCTATCGAACATTTTCCAATAAGTTTGTTCGTTTGTCCAAGTGAAAAATACACAGAATTAGCATTAGGGCGAATAGGAAACGAATAATATCAACGTAGCCTGCATGCTGCATGGGGATATATCTCGCCGTGTGACCGTTCACATTACACATCTCACAAGGCATCGTTGATATTATTCTTTTCCTGCTTGCGCTAATGGTATATAACTTTCAGTAGCTTTCGCTTCGTATACGATATACAGGGTGGCCCAATTAAAACAGTATACCTG